GCTCCAGAGTCCTTGAGATCCCACAGGTAGGAGTGTAGCTTCTACCTGGGTTGACCAGCAACACAGGAAGTGCTGTACTAAGAGCATTTGGCACAGAAGAAGACGGGAGGTCTCCCTTGCAACGCTCTACGTGGGGCTCAGCAGAAGCTCCACACCTCATCCTCTTCGCTGCCACAGATACTCCCAGTGCCAGAGTTGGCTCCATGATAACAACCAGGGGCAGAGCAGCTCGCCACTCAGTCTCACGAGCTGCCTGGCTAGAGCAGCACCCCAACCCCCAGACCCAAAGAGACCGGCCACTAGATGTATTGCCAAGTGCAGCTACTTCCCATTCACTTTAGAAGGGATATCCTGACCTGCCCAGACCACTGGACACCTGGACACTCACCATGCAGCTTGACCCTGAACTTAGCTGTCTCTATGACCTTCGGGCTTGTACCTGTCCTACAAAGGCACCCACAGTTCCTACTATTTCCTGTTACCAGCCCATTGCTATGAACGGACCAGCATGCTATTTTGCAGGATTTCAAGATTGTCAAGGTTCCTCTGAACAAATGGACAGAACTCTGAAGCAAGACAGTGAAGATACAAGGCTGTCCCTGCAATAGAAATGCAAATTGCTTTTGACTTCTCCTCTGACGGGAATGGGAAAGAGAGCCTTTATCAGGTCAATCAAACACTATGGTGAATGCCAAAAATCCATGTGCAGAGCTGCAAACTTCAGACTTCAAACTACAGTCTGACCACTCCAACATTACTGTAGCATTGTCTAACTTGAAGACATACATATTTTACTATATAAGTATATTTTGCCATTTGTCTATGCTTAGTAACAAATTTGCATTTTTTATTTGATATAACAAAGGCTTTGATGTAATTTCTCTTAGATTTTGCATTTTTTCATTATTATTATGCTTAACCTCAAACATTATTGATTCTTATATCATTGCATTAGTATTATGAATAATCACATGAAATGTTGTGAATATAATTATAGGGCTTTTTTTTTCATTTAGTAGGAACCTTTCCATCATTGTGGAAAACTAAGAAAATTTCTTCCCGCTGTATAATCTGGCATTTGTAGCTTAAAGTTTATTTGTCTGTGAATAAAATGTACTCAATAAATGCTTATATAATTATATCAAAATGGATTCTGCTGTCATGTATGACTAAAAAGAACCAATAAATTAAAAATATATTCAAAAATGCAAATAAAAAGATGAAAAAAACTATGGTGTTTAGAAATGAAATATTTGGGAGGTGATTAGGATTAAATAAATTCACCTCAGTGAAGTCCCTGTGATTGGATACAGGTGACTTTATAAAGGGAGGGGGAGGGGAGATCTCGGAGGATACCCATCCTTACAAGCATGGTTCTCACCACGTGATGCTCTGCCCTGGCTTGGGACTCTGCCAGCAAGAAGACCATCCTCAGCTGCTGCCCTTGCTCCTGATGTAGACCTGCGAAACAAACCTCTCCTCTTTATACTCCTCCACTCTGGTACTGTGTTATTAGCAACAGTGACTGGATTAATAGAAGGCGAATGCTCTGTTTTAATCAGATCACAGATTCATCTTTTATGGGCACATTCAAGTATAAAGTGACCACTTTATTGCTTAGGGCCTGGGAGTTGCAGAGGAAGGTAACGTCATTTATATATTTTAAATGAATTTACATAAGCAGCAAAGGTTCAGTATGGTACATGATAATGTCTTTTCCCTTGGTAAGTGCTTGGAACAGCAAACTCAACAGCAGCAATTAATGTATCCTTCAAAAGACTCTCTGTAATCAATTAACTCATGACATTTGACTATTCAGTTTATTATTAAACCAAATTTAGTATTCACCTCAAAACTGGTTTACCATTATCAAATCCACTAAAATGTCCTACTGAAACAATTTTCCAAGGTGAAAAAAAATACAAAGATTCAAGCTGGGGACATGTTGGCTTCTTAAGAGGGATTTTAAGATTGTAGATCTTTGTCTCTTCCCAGCAGCTCTCTGAATATGACCCCAGTTTCTTCATGTTAAAATAAGGGCATTGCACAGTCTGGCTGGCTCTGCGGGGCTAAGGTTCCGGTGTCCAGGATCTGCCTATTTTTAGCCCAAGGCATCTTAGGGATGAGGCCAGAATTCCAAATGAGGTTCAAATTTGCAACAACACTAGTGGCCCAGGTACACAGTCTCAGAAAAAGACTCCAAAATGACTTAAAATTAACACATCATACCAAACTTTTTGTTTTATAAGTGAGAAAACTTAATTAAGGAGAAATTTCATGTTTTCTCCTGATTAACCTACTTATCTTTCAAAATTCAGTTCTGAGCTGGAGGTACATAGCTCAGTGGCAGAATGCGTGCCTAGTAAGTGGGAGGTCCTGGGTTCCATGCCCAGCACTGCAGAGAGGAAGAAGAGGAAGAGGAAGAGGGAAGGAAGAGGAGGACAGGGGGGGGGGGGGAGAGAGAGAGAACCTGAGAGACTGATTTAATTTAGCCATTCACCCAGAAGATACAGCTGACCACTCCCTACTGTCATCAACATCAAATATTCACTTTTGTCAGTTATCTGCCAGTCCCTGTTCTAAGCACTTAGAATTCATGGTGCACAATGGAGACGAAAATCCTTGCTCTCAAGTGGCTTATATTCTAGGTGGTGGGGGGAGGGCGGGAGGCACTGCACTGTAAATGTAATAAGTAAATCATGCTGTATGTGGAAGGGAGCCAGTACTAGAGGGGGACAGAAAAGGATCATGGAGATCAGGAGCACCAAGAGTGGGGATGGCTGAGTTTGTGTTTGACTTATTTATTTATTTAGTTAGTTTTGAGTTTGAGATTTTTACATAGTGTGATAGCCTCATAATGAGGTGAAAGTTGATTTAAAAAAAAAAAAAAACACTTATAGGAGATGGGGAAACGAGCCAGGGAGTATCTGGAAGAAGAACGGCAGGGTCCCACCCTGTGAACGTTCTCCACCAGTTCAGGTCACAGTGAGCAGGCGCTTGAGAGATAAGGCTAGGGAAGCTGGTCACACAGAGCCCTCGGGGCCACCACAGAGGCTTTTACACTCCAGGGTTTGAGTAGAGCAGTGACATGATCCAACTTCTTCCCTGCAGGCCCACCTGCTCTGGTTGCTGTGTGGGGAATAGAACATGGTGGACAGGAAGAGAAGTTCCGAAAGCCGGTGGGGGCTGTTGCAGCCCCTCAGGTAAGAGGCCACGACTGCTTGGACCCAGGGCCGTAGTGGAGGTCGGCTCTGTCCTGAAAACACAACAGGGTGAGCTAAGAGATGAGACGACGCTAATGGGTAAACATGAGTAAAGTGTTTCCTTGAGTTTTGTGAGCAAACAAATCAACAGGGTTGTGGGAACTCCTGATTTATACCTGTCGGAAGTATAAGTGACAACCTACCACTTGAAACTGGCAATTTGAAGGGAGTGGGGTGTGGTCAGAGTCTTGTGATTCTGAGCTCTTAACTTGTAGTATCTGACACTATTTCCAGATAGAATTGGAGGACATTCAACTGCTGGTGTTCACTGCAGAACTGGTTGGTGTGTGGGGCTTCTCCCACATCTGATGTCTGAAGTATTGAGCGTCTGCATAAGAGGTAGTTGGTACTGAAAACCAGAGTGGGAAAGTGTTTTTCCCACACTGTGTAACACATTGCTGCAAACTTAGCAACTTAAAACAATACACCCTTATTCTCTCACACTTTCCATGGGCCAGGAGTCTTTAGCTAGGTCCTCTGTTAAAAGTTTCACAAGGCTGCAACTAAGGTGCCAGGCTGTGTTCTCATCTGGAGGCCCCAGTGAGGAAAATCTGCTTCCAAGCTCATTCAGGTTGCAGACAGTTGGTTTATTTGTGGTTGTAGGATAAGGGATCTAGCTGTTAGCTTGGAGCACCCCGCCATTCCCAGGGGTCACTCACAGTTCTTTGATGTCAACTCCTTCAACACTTCCACCCTGTTCATCAAGCTGTAACGAAAGTCTTCATTGTAACATAAAGCAATCACAGGCTGACACCATATCACCTTTGCTTTATTCTATTAGTTAGAAGCAAGTCTCTGGACCTGCACAGTTAAGTGCCTGAACACCAGGAAGTGGGACACACTCGGGATCACAGTGACCTGTATCATTAGAAGTGTGTGTACCCCCCATCTCAACAATTCTGTCTCCTGTTAGCTCTGGCATAGCATGGCTAGTGTGACAAAAGAACTTCATTTTCTTTTTTAATTTTTTTTTTTTAGTTGTTGACAGACCTTTATTTTATTTATTTTTTATGTGGTGCTTAGAATCAAACCCAGTGCCTCACACATGCTGGGCAAGAGCGCTTCCACTGGGCCCCAGCCCCTGCCCCAGCCCTAAGAACTTCATTTTCAATTTAAAGAAATCTAATGATTAATTTAATTTAAAAACCCATAGTAAACTCAGTTTCAGGAAAAAAAAAATGTTTGTGTAAGTAAATGAGACTTCTTTTTCAACTGTAAATTTTATAAAACTAGATACAGATCAAATGTCTCCACTGAAAACTCAGTGTTTAAACAGTATGATTGATGTTAATTGTAAACATATACACCAAGTTTCAAAGACAATACAAAAACCAGAAATCTCTTAAATAATTTCCAAACTGATGTTGAAATGATAAGATATATTATTAAAAACAATTTTATCTGCTTGTACTTATTTTTGAAAGAAACAAGTTACCAGAGGATTTTAAGTTGCACACGTGGTTCAAATTCTATTGCTGAGCAAAAATAAAGAGGTGCTGAGCTTATACTTGGCAAGACACCAATGTCAGCTAATAGTGCAAGGAAACACCTGATTAATGATAGATAGGACACTGTGGAGGGCTCAGAGGGGTGCAGACGGGCTCTCCAAGCGCTGGGAAGGTCTCAGGAGAAGGCCGACCTGCTGCTGACACACCCAGCAGGACGTCCCGCGCCAGCAGCTGCTCCGCCGGCTCTTCGCCCCGTGCCCGCTGTGAACGCGCGGCGCTGCTTGACCCTCGCGCAGCGCCGTAGGCCGCGCTGCACGCCGGGCGGCCGCGATGGCGGACGTGTCGGAGAGGACGCTGCAGGTGTCGGTGCTGGTGGCTTTCGCCTCCGGAGTGCTCGTCGGCTGGCAGGCGAACCGGCTAAGGAGGCGCTATCTGGACTGGAGGAAGCGGAGGCTGCAGGACAAGCTGGCGACGACGCAGAAGAAGCTGGACCTGGCCTGAGTGGACGCCTCGCGATGCACGCGCGCGCCCGGCTCCCTCGCCCTCCCGCCCGCGGGGCCGGCCCTTCCCCAGCGTCGGTGAGCAGAAGGACCGTGGGGCCTGGAGCCGCGGTAGGCTGGGGCCCCGGGAGGGAGTTGCTTCCCTCCCCAGAGACCAGGAGGAGTAACTTTGCTGAGTACTAGCGCTTGGGTGTAATAGTTGAGCTCCCTGCGGGGGTTTGGTGGCACTGACTTGCCACATGCAGTGTCACCGCACCCTGACATCATTAAAAGTGAAAAATCCCGGAAAGAACGACAGGGGAAAAAGGAAAGGCCATGGGAACCACGGAGATGCCTCTTGCACCTGCTCCCCCTCCGTCCATCCCCGTGGCTCCCGGGGGACCTCTTTGCATTAACGTTTTGTAAATTCCAGTCAGAAAACTTAGGTTGTGGGAAGTTGGTGAACAGGAAAGAGCAGTGGTCTGGAAGTCAGAATCCTTGCATTTAGTCCAGACTTTCTCATCAGCGCTATTTGTCATAGATTTTCAGGACCTCCGTTTCCTTTTAACAGTAGATCTTAATAATTCAGGGTTTAAAGCTACAGCATAATTATTTGAAGTTAAAGAGTGTGTTACTAACCTTTTCTTTTTTTCTGTTTCCAACAGCTTGCTGAAGAGGGATGTAGAATACCGGAAAGAAATAAGTTCTTGCACTTTATGAATCTATTTTTAAAATAAAAAAATTTAAATATCTTTGAACCTTTTTTTTCTTTAAGGGAAAGGGATCTTTTGCCTGCTGTTAAGTTTGCTGTATGAAGAGATTCTGGATTCTTAAGCTTATGCATTAGCAGTTTTCAACAAGTAACTTCTTTCCTATGGAATCTATGCGGGGTCGTTGGTACAGCCACAAGGCAGAGTTCACCAGGGAACCATTATGGGTCCTTTTGTTGGACCAGGAAAGCAAGGGTCTGTGTACACATAACTGAGGTGAGGATGATGTATGTAAGACCTTTGCACTTCAGAGATTGACAGCGTACCAAGTACAGAGTAGACATTTCTATTGGCAGAAGTCTCCTGTATGTCTCATTACGGAATATACATGTGAACAAGAAATGTTATCGAAAAGAGCTTGGTGATAAATTCTGTAAATCAAGAGTGAGTGACTAGGTCCATGGTTACTTTTTATTTGCAAGTGATGCTTTCTAGCACATCACCCTTGCTTATTCTTATAAAGATGACTTTTGTGTCTCAGCTCCATAGCAACATAAGGAAATTTAGAAAAGGTGTTCCTACAGAAAGTCTATTAAAGTCACACTACTTCCAACTTTGTTCTTTTTCATTCTGTGAATGCAGTACATAAGGACCCAAAGGATGGTTCTTAGAGCTTCATCCTGTCGGCTCCAGTTAGCTGAAGCTTTCCAGTTACCATCTTTCATTGAGGCTCAGAGTTAAAGCTCTTCGAGACACAGTAGGTTTCTTGAGGTACAAGTTGCCCTCCAACTACTGGGATGTTCCTGGTTAAGTATCTGGGTTCTGACAAGTTCTGCCTCTGGACCTGTTCCTGTACCCTGTTCCTGGTGGACCTGGTCTTTTCAGGTTCTTTCCTCATTGCTTGCATGCAGTGCCCTGGTGTACTCAGCCCCCTCTCCTGTCCCATATCTGGGCATCCCTGCCTATGGGCTTGTGCTGCTCATTCCCAAGTCCCATTGTTTCCCATGGGTCTTCACCCATTGTGTGCCACTCCTAATCTCATTTTCTGTGCCTATTATTTCTTTATGCTCTATGCACATGTGTCCCCATCTCTGTAGTGGGGAATCCCCCTTGATATTCTGTCACCTTTTTCTTACCTTTACTCAAATTAGTTTTTCTCCCCTGAAATGCTTTCTCACATAGAGGCAGCACCCTTTGCTATGTTAACCAAAACTGGAAACAGGAGGTTGGGAGCCAGGAGTCACAAAAGTAGATATCCTGGATATGACATACTGCTGACTTGAAATAAATACCCCACCCCCACTTGCCATGCCATTTAATCACAACATCTACTTGTCTTGATTGACTCGCTCTTCTATCTTGTCTTCTTTCTGCCCCATATGGGCTTCTCAGACCACCTACTGCATTCCATATTGCTTTAGCTAAACCCTGGATCTTCTTTTCAACAGACTTGGACCTCATCTCATACTTGGCTTCTTTGATGTCAGCAGCTGAAACCCTCCTTGTTTAGGTCAGCTGACATCAGTAAAAGTGCCAACTCAAGACCACTGGTTATCCTATCCTCCAGTTCACCTTGTCAGTCATCCTGGGCTTCCTTATCACATTAGACTCCATCCCCACATTTACCCCTCAACACTGTTGTTGCCACCAAACTTACCAGAGGAAGACACTTCACCTTTCTCATGTGGCCTACCATAAGTGGATTCTATTGTGTATCCTTCTGGTGTCCCAGTAATGTTTCTTCCCAGTGTATATCTCATTCCTAGGAGATTGCTCTCCATCATATGAGAAGATAAAGGCCATGAGGTGGGAATTCCCTTAGCTCTCAATGATCTGACTAGAGCAGTGGTTTTCAACAGGGCTGTCCATTACGATCATCTAAAGAATCTTCACAATATGAATCCCTGAAATTTTGCTGCATGTAGTTGGTCTGGGCGTTAGGATTTTAAAGCTCCCCAGGTAAGTCTAATGCTCAGCAGAGGCTGAGACCCAGTGGTTCAGGCTCTGTTGCATGACCTTTCCTTTACTGTTGGGGACCACAAATCAAGTCAAGATGGCGCCTGGCAGTTTGCCAGGAGGAGTGGTTTGTGAGGCAACGCCACCGAGCCATTAAGATGATGGGAATTCCTTATTGGCTGATTGCTGTATCTGGATGATGCTAATTGAGTCAAGCTGTGTGTAATCAGTTAGGTGTATATATACCGCTGTTGTCCCGCAATAAAGCAGTTCCCGCTTCAACCTTTAAGTTGCATGTCACCTCCCGGTCATTTTGCCCAGCCGGACTGCGGCACTTTACTTGGAAAGCAGATGTAGGGGCCCCTTCATAGGCTATCTCCTCTCTGGTCTCAGTTGTATCTGTATCTACCCTGGGCCTTCAATCTTTCCCAGCTTTCCCTTAGTCACAAGAACACAGATCTTGACTTAAAATTCCTTTTAGTTGACCAACTTGAGAATGAACATACTACAACTAAGTACAGCGTCTTACAAACACAAGGTTGACACAAGAATTCTGTACACAGCATAATTCCATTATATTGTCCAAAAGGAAGCAAAACAAGTTTGTAGTGTTTACTTTTGGTGGTGGTGGGGGATAAGGGTGGGTAAGAACTAGGAGAGGAAGAACTGTTAGGGTGCATGTAATGTTTCTTAATCTGGGTGCCATTACATGGGGCATACAGTGAAGATTCAGGAAGCTGCATGCTTTCATTTTGCACTTTTTTTTTTCTGGGTACTGGGGATTGAACTCGGGTGCTTTACCACCAAGTATGTCTCCAGTTCTTTTTAATTTTTTATTTAAGATAGGGTCTTGCTAAGTTGCTGAAGCTGGCATCTAACCTGTGATCCTCCCAGTTCTGCCTCCCAAGTTGCAAGCAATATGGGCAGTACTTGGCTTTATGGACTTTTCTATCATTTTTGAAGAAAGAAGTATATAATGAAAATGTGACAGTTTGGCCTGACCTGTGGAATCAACTTATGTGTAGTTCTGAAGAACACACACTTATGTGGTCCATCATTTGGGAGGTTAGCTGGGTCTGTCATTCTTGCTCAAGTACAATGTTGCCACAGTGGAGTTTGGGGATTGGATTTACAGAATTCAGCCCCGCTTGGGGAATTATTATTACCAGCTTCCTAAGGGTGCATGCAAACTGGGGATCAAGGTGAGGATGTATTATTTGCTCACAGACTTGCTTGGAACAGAATCACCATCCTCCCAGAATTCAGATGGACGACGTGCAAAATCAGAATGGAGAGAAACTACAGCCGTATCCCAGAAGACAAAGAACTAAAAAGTTACTTTGAAAGCAACAGTATGCGCCCAAATCATGCACCCCGTGAAGGCTACACTGGACAGTTCTTGTAGTTATGAAAGTGTTAAAACGCTCAAATCGCATCTTAAGATTTGCTCAGTGAGACTGGCATGAGTCAACAGCATAAAACAGCACCCCAGCCCGAGGTAATAACGATACGCTGTGGCACGTGTAGTTTCGCACACCGGGAGCTTCGCAAATCGGCTACCGCGGCGGGCGCGCTACCGCTCTCGCCTTCCCGCCAGCAGTCGGCAGGTGGGCGGGGCTAGAGGGCGGGCGCGGCGTGGCGTCATCTTCCGGCGCCGCCTTAGTCTCCCTGGCAACCGGCGCGCGCCGGGCGCCGGGGCCGGGGAGATGCTGCCACGCCGGCCGCGCGATCCGCTGCAGGCGGTGCGGCGCCGCAGTCAGGAGCTGAAGCAGCAGGTACGGTGGGGTCGGGCGCACCCCGGGGTGGGCGAGGGGGCGCGGGGCGCCGCAGCGCTTTCCTCCCGGCGACCCCACGCCCTGGGAGCCGGCGTCCGACCCAAACGCTCAGCACCCGCGACCTCCCCGCGCCAAACCCGGCTCCAGCCCGCGCTGCGCCCGGCCCGGCCACCCATGGAACCTCCTGACCTTCCACGACAGACCGCGTCCTCCGCCCTGACGGCCCCCAGCCGTCGGGTTTGCAGCCCAGGGCTGCGCAGGAGCCGCCCTACCCGCGCCCGCCCCGCGCTCTCCGGGTCCCTGTCCCTGGAGCCACCGCTCCTGGGGCCCAAGCCCCAGGAAGAGTCCTACTGTGTCAGGACTGCAGGACCTGAAGGGCGAGTGTCCTAGAGGACACACAAGTGATGTCAGCATGAAAGTTAACTTCAAAGATAAACCAGTGGCAAAGGAGATGAACTCTCCCAAAGACTGTGAAAGTGGCCACACTCAGTCTTGGGGAAGGCGTGGCCGGCCTGCCACCTAGACTCGCTGCCCCACGGTGTCGGGTTCAGCTTTCTGGAAAGCACTGTGACGAGGTGTAGCCGATGTGCATGCGCCCAGGCGCCCAGGTAGAAACCTGCCCTATGTAATAATGAAACGTTGGGACAGAGATCGATAGTAAAAGTACTGGTCTCATTGCTTAATAGAAAAAATGATACGCTTTAATGAGAAGTAATAGGGGAATGAATAACTTTCGATGGGATATAATAATACTGTGACTAAACTTTTGTTAAATCTTAATGTGTTAGGGGAAATATTTGTGATCAAATGGCAAGTTAACAAAAACAAAACGGAATAAAAGATATCTTAATGACGTTTTTCTATATATAGTACATGAAAAAGATATAAAAGAAAACATGCTGAAATGGTATCTCTGTGGTGGAATGCTGGGAGTAGTGTTTTTTCTCATTTTTAAGTACACCGAATGCCTATGCCTTTTTTTTTTTCCAGTACTAAGATTGAACCCAGGTGTGCCCTATCACTGAGCCACATCCCAGCTTTTTAATTATTTATTTATTTTTATGGTACTGGGGATCAAGTCTGGGACCTTGTGCAAGCTAGGCATGTAAGTGCTCCACCACTGAGCCACATCCCTAGCCCTTTTTATTTTTTATTGTGACACAGAGTCTGGCTAAATTGCTGAGGCTGGCCTTGAACTTGTGATCCTCCTGCCTTAACCTCCATAGTAGCTGGGATTATAGGTGTGTGCCATTTCATCCCAGGTCTGTTACCTTGCAAGAAAAAAAAAAGTAAATAGCAATTAGTAGGTTCATTTTTTTAGATTCTTTATGAGTTTGCTAATTTTATTTTGTAAAAAGGGATCTATTGCCAAGATTTTTACTCTAAATAAAATTATTTTATAATATATCAGTTAAAAATAAGCCAGGCTCTGTGATGCAGGCCTGTCATCCCAGTGGCTCTGGAGGCTGAGGCAGGAGGATGGTGAATTCAAAGCCAGCCTCAGCAAAAATGAGGTGCTGTATAACTCAGTGAGACTGTCTCTAAATAAAATACAAAATAGGGCTGGGGTCATGTGCTCCTGAGTTCAATCCCTGGTACCTAAAAAGAATTTTAAAAAATAAATTTTAAAATGAACCAAAGAATTTGGCACATAAATATTTAAGTGACTTTATATTGGAATCCCAGTGGTACAGCAAAAGCAAAATTGTCTCCTGGTAGAAATGAAAAATAAAACTTGATGGAGTACTGACTTACTGGTAACTTACTGTGGATCTGCATTTAATTTTAAATTTAGTGGGACATTAAGAGAACCAGGACATTTTTCAAAAGTAAACTATAAAAGCAATTGGTAAAGCAAACATAAAAGATGATTACAAAATTATTCAACTTGGAGACAAATTGACTCAGGAGCCACTTGATACCTTGAATATCTGGAAAGGACGTTTTAATAGTATTAGCTCATTCTTATATCCACAAAGGAGACCTGAAAGAAAGCGGATGGGGCTGGGGATGTGGCTCAAGCTGTAGCACGCTGGCCTGGCATGCGCCGGGGGGCGGCGCTGGGTTCGATCCTCAGCACCACATAAAAATAAAATAAAGATGTCCCCCGAAAACTAAAAAATAAATATTACAAAATTTCTCTCTCCCTCTCTCTCTCTTAAAAAAAAAAAAAAGAAAGAAAGAAAAGAAAGTGGAATAAATTTCCAGCATGGTATCCATGGGACAAGGAATCAGCTTCCTATTTGGGTCACTTGAGTGTATGAATTTTATAAATAACTCAGGTGGATGCCAAATAATAAGGACAGAGAAGAAGCTAGTGGAATTTACTTCTTTTTTATCTATCTTTTCCACATAATCTGCAGAAAAGAAACCAAAGAAAGGTGTGCCTTTTTGGAGGGGTACATTGACAAAGATGCTTGTAGTCTTTAGTAACACAGGAAGTCAGGACAAAGTCATGGTACGTTCGTTGCAATGAATACCACTTGGTAATAAGGAATAAACTCATGATACAACAGTGTGGAAGCATAACATTACATGGTTCATGTAGACAAGAGTTCATACTGTACAAGTTCATTCATATAAAAAAGTTCAAGAGCAGGCAAAACTTAGGGTGGAAAAAAATCAAGACAAGTTTGTCTCTGGAGGAATGGGATGGAATTTACTAGAAAGGACACTGGAGTTCTATGAGGTTTCAGTTATAAGCACACATGTTTGTCAAAATGCAGCAAATATACCTTTTAGGTTTGTGCATGTCTTTGTATGTTTTATATCAAATATTCAGCTCTCTGGTTAGTGGTACCTACAGCACATTATTTAGGGGGCAGTGTATTGGTGACTGTGGTTGACTTCAAAATGCATAAAAATAAAGTGGGTTGATGGATAGATAGACCAAATTAGTACGGTAAAATGTGAACAGTAGAATTGAGGTAGTGGCATATAGGTATTTGCTATAAAATTCTTTCAACTTTATCGTATGCCTAAAAGTGTTTATTTCCTAAGGGGAGAAAAGTAATTTTTTATTTCCGAAGACAAGACATAACTGAAATGTAAGTATCATAACTTAATATGATGTTTTAAACTGTCTCCATTTGCCATAGGTTGATAGTCTGCTTTCTGAGAGCCGATTGAAAGAAGCTCTAGAACCTAATAAAAGTCGAAATATTTACCAAAGGTAAAGTATACTCAATTATTGGGTTTTCTCGGGACTACACTTATATCTCAATGAGTTGGATTTAAGGCACAGAAGTTGTTTGAGACTTTCTTGCCCTCTTTCCCTTCCTTTCTTGCTTTTTCTTTTTATTTGTCTACTTTTCCCCCAAAAGACAAAATAATAATGATAGATAATATTGAGGTAACAGTGAATAAGATTTTCTAAAATGTACTTTTAAGTATTTCCTTTCATTATCTATATCTACCTGGTCTTAATTTGAAATGATAAGATCAAATAAAGAATAGTAAATATTAAAGAGAAGCACCCTTCATTTATTTTATACTCTGTATGTGCCAGGCATTATAGTCTGAACTCCTCAAACTTTTTCTTAATTTTGTCAATAATACCATAAGGTACTTATTAACATAAATAAGAAAATCAAGGCTCACAGCAGTTAGTTAATGCATCTAGCATTACTTGGCTTTAAGACACTAAAGTTGGGAGCCTATGAAAATGTTTTAAGGTGGCTAAGAAATGCAGAATTCCTTGAAGCAAGGGAAGGCACTTGACGAGAATCTCAGTGGTGCAGGGTTTGGTCCATTACAACCAAATGGAAGGATTGCACTGTGATGTCATGAAGGTCTAGAAGGAACCAGCTACACCTAGTGGTTGTGGGCTTGTTGCTATTGTGCAGCAACTAAAATCTGCTCAGAGTGCACTGTGGAGGCTCACGCAGAATTACCTAGACCCTTGGCTCGTGTAGCCCAGATTCTTCTATAAATGATCAGAAATCTTGCTAGAAGCAATTTGTCTTTGCTTGGGATAATGACCTTTAATTTTCTTGAAAAGATACGGTGTTCTCTATATGAGTAAGTAGTTTCTGGTTTTAATCCCTGGGAAATTTTAACATTAAATAGACATAACAAACTTAACTGAACTAGACTGCTAACACTTTTGCATTAAGTTCAGAACATCATTAAGTTAATTTACATATTTGGGGATGTTTGAAGAGTTTATAGCATTCAGAAGAACATGAGAAGGGGCACCAGGAGATAAACAGTAAATACTTAAGTAATAAGACCATGGGGAAGAAAAGAGCATGGGATTCATTCTATTAACTTAAATTATTTATTTAAAAGTTTTACTTAAGCCAGGAATTCAGAGTGCCTAAAGGCAAAGTAAAATATAAATAATTTTTAAAATGTCGAATGGAATTTAATTTACCATTATTGGCAAGATTGATTGTTTAAGGAATTTTTTCAAATTAAGTTAATTAATAATAGTGAAGAAAATAATGAAGGTAATTGTGCTTGCTTTGCTAGATTTAAAAACAAAATAATATTTACAGGCTATATTTGAAGCTTTGGGGAAAGCTAAGTTTTGAATTTTCTTTTAAAAAATAATAAGTGTTTAAGGGGGGAACGGATTGAACTCAGGCCCCTTTGCCACATGGTTACATCCCTTGTTCTTTTTATTTTTTTTCTTCTGAGACAAGGTCTTGCTAAGTTGCCCTGGCTGGCCTCAGACTTTCAATCCTCCTGCCTCAGCCTCCAAAGTTGCTGGGATTGTAGATGTGTGACACCCTGCCTGGGAATAATAAGTATTTTTAAGCCATAATTAGCTTGTGTATAAAATGATCCCTTCACAGTCCCTTAAAAATTCACACTGATGTTTGCAAGTCTGAAAATGTCGTTTTACCCTTATGTTTAGCTGGTTATAGAATTTAAAATAATTGCTACTAAAACTTTTGAAGGCATTGTTCAGTTTTCTTTGCATGCAGTGATGCTGGTAAATCTTATTATTGTTCCTTAATAATTAGCCTGTTGACTTTTCAGCCTTGGTGTTTTGAAATTTTAGCACAATATATTTTGGCATTGTTTTTATCTGTTTAACACCAAGTGGATAGTTTCAGTTTGAAAACTCATATTTCTCATGAGCTCTGGGAAATTTTATTTTACTAAAGATAATTTCTTTACTTCCATTTATCTATTTTTCCTGAAATACCTTTGAGTCGGGTATTGAATATCTTGGATAGGTTGTCTAGGTTTCTAAACCTCTCATGAATACCTTTTGTTGCTTGTCTTTTTGCTTACGCCTGGAAGATTCTCTTTTTTTTTTTCTCCTAAATGGAATTGTAATTGAGGATTGGGTAACAAATACTGATAGTATTTTGTGTAGCAGCCACAATTAAGTCCATCAGATATTCCAAATAAAACACTAACAAAAATTTTTATAACTTCTATGAATGTTTTATTTTACTAATCATGTTGTTCATTTACTAGTGTTTTTTCTTGTTCTCAAATTGTTCTTTTTTTTTTTTTTTTTTTTAAATACTCATATTCCTGCTTTCAGAGTTTCTCCTTCCACGCTTAGGTTTGTTTTTAAGTTCTATTCTTTGAATTGTCTTTGCTTCCTTGGTGCTCAGATTCCTATTTATTTATTTATTAGTTTTACATTTTATCCTTATGTTGCTGGTTTTCTTTATTTAGTCTGGTGGCCCTTTGCTATTCATTTTTATTTAAAAATGTGAGCCTGGGTTGGTTATTCTAGAGCACTCCCTCAGGTTCTTTCACTGTGGCATATCTTGGTGTCTTTCCTGTTAGCACTATATGCTGAATGCAAATCAGTTCGTTGCAGGTGGAAAGGGCTCATCATGGGGTCAGAGGAGCCCTCAGTGCAGGAATAGGTGTGCTGGAAAGTTCTTTAGCAATTATGATTCTCCCCAAATCATTATTTATTGTTATTATTATTATTATATTTAAGAAGAATCTTCTGGTTCAGTGGGAGAAGAGAGAGAAGAGAGAGAGAGCTAACAGGCTCAGGATTTCTGTAAATAAACTTTAAAAAGTTAGTACAATTATTACAAAAGAGCCTTAACTAAATCTAAACTTAATGAGAATCTTTGCTCTTTCCCTGAGTAATACAAAGACCCCGGATGGCTTTAAGACTGATTTCCCTAAACGTGCACCCATGGTGCATCTTAGACAGACCTTCATGATCCTGGAGTGTTCTGCCGGGTGTCCCTTGTGCCTGTGTGACCTCTTTCTCACTTGATAGAAGACATGCTTCTGTTTTTTCCACGAAGCAGAAATTTGTTGCGCTCTCTTGCTGGCCCATGATCCTTTCCCATTCTTTGCTGTTTGAGGTTATTCCTTCGAAAACACTTTAGTCATTTTTTGTTCAGTTTCAGGAGGCAGAGAAGATGGGTGTGTGCTTAGTTTTTATCCTGAACCAGGAGTCTTAAATATCTGGGCTGTTTGAGGATTTGATAATTTTTTAGATATTAAGGAGATAATTATAATTATTTTCTTGGTTTGTGTATTATAAAACAATCATTTTGCACTCTGGCTTTCAATGAGATTTCTGAGTTCTTTCATTCAAGCAACAGGACACCTGTCAAAATAAGCAGCTTTACTAAGTCTCATCTGACAAAACTCTGCTGCTGGATTCTCCGGGGTAGGTCAGTGGCTCCTGATGTCCCAAGACCAGCTATTGGTGACATTCTGTCTATTCTGCCAGCCTCAGCTTGTTGATGATGTCTGTCCTCAGAATTGCAAAGTCCTTAGGGGGCAGTATTTAAGAGCAGGAAGGGGAGGGAGTTTCTTAATGCCTTGCTATAGAGGCTGGGGGCAGGGGGCATCCTGAACATGCTCTTTTATGTTCTGTTGGCCAGCCCAGGTGTCCCCCCACCACCTGCAGTGGAGGCTGAGAACAGAGGTGCCAACAGAGGGCAGGTCACAGGATAGAGGAAGCCAGAGGAGGGTTTGGGGCAGGCACCTGGCAGGGTCAACCAGTTTCATGTTACCATTTCTCTTTTTCTGCCCATTTCACAAAGGACTTTTGACTCCTACCCCTTTTCCCTTTTATGTTACTTTATGTCATTTCACTCACATCTGTAAGAGAAAAACAGCTCCAATAACACAGAAGTCACTTTTCAGAGAGTGAGAGAAAAGCCAGGGCTCCGAATACTAAAAAAAGATTTGATTTTTGAAAACTCCTCTTGGTGCCACGGCACACACCTATGATCTCAGTGGCTTAGGAGGTTGAGGCAGGAGGATCATGAGTTCAGAGGCAGCCTGAGCAACTTAGTGAATCTCCAAGCAACTCAGGAACACCCTGTCTCTAAATAAAATGCAGAAAAGGGCTGGGGATGTGGCTCTGTGGTTCAGTGCTCCTGGATTCAATCCTTAGTATCAAGAAAAAGAAAGAAAACTCCCCTATCATCAGTTGTACCCCATTTTTGCTCATTTTCTGTATCTCTTCTCTGGGTGTCTGAGACTTAAACTGAGATATATGAGCTGTCTCTGTAGCCCAAAGCATTGTACCTGTCCCGAGAGCCTGTTCAAAAGGGGTGTGCAGTGGTAGTGGCAGGAAGAGGCAGCCGGAGTCCGAGTGCCCACCTGCCCTTCCTGCTGCCCTCCCAGGGACCCACTGTGGTTCTTTTTAGAACCTTATTTTCTCTGCCTGGAGTCGGGCTTGTTGGGAGACTTACACAGCTGTGGTGGGGGTCAGTTGTGTCTCATGTCCAGTTCCTTGGCCTTGGGAACCGTAGAGCTGGGGAGGCGTCTTAGAACCCAGAGCTCCTCCTCATTTTAGACTCAGGAGACTGAGGCCCCAGATCCCTGACATTTCTGAGCCTGGTTTTCCTGCCCAGGGCCTTGGAGCGCCCCTTGGATCATCTAAAGCAATGGGTACAAAGGTTTTTACATGTGGATTTTTAAACATTATTCTTAACAATAGCCAATGGCCTTGCCTGCTTAGTGATTGAATGATTTTTTTAAATAGCTTTCTAATTGTGACAACAGAAAAATCATTATATTTTCTTTCTTTTTTTAAAATTTAGATGTATCCAGTTAAAACAGGCAATAGATGAGAATACAAATGTTCTTCAAAAGTTAAGAAAAGTAAGTATTATGTGAATCATATTAGAAAAAAACTTTTTACGTAAATATTTTCACTAAGAGGAATGAATTGGAGTCGGTAAGTTCCTGGGTTTGCATTAGAAATAAAGCCCTACCCAGAGGCGCTGAGTGGGGGCATGGGCTCCCAGGTGTGCTTCAGAGCAGAAGAGAACCTCCAACCCTGCCGAGCTCTTCAGCATTAAGGACCCAGAACCCCAGACACTGCCTTTCAAATGTGTGCATTGTATAACTTAGATGAGGTGCAGTTTAGAGCCGTTTTGATTTTAATCCCACTGCGGGTAGAGTCTAGCCCCCGGTGAGTCGAAGGAAGTCTGGTCTCGGTGGCGGCTCTCACAGCAATGACTGCCAGATTGGAGGATCAAGCTTTACCCTTGGCCATCCCTTTAGGACTTTTTTTTGGTATGGGCCTGAGTTTCATCTACGTGTCTAGGGCTAGAGGCTCATAGAGCAAGTGGAAGTCACTGGAAGTGTCCCCTGCCTGTGTGTGAATCCTTGTTACTGCATCTGAGTGTCTCTTCTGCATTTTTGCAATGACACAGAACTTTTCAACTCAGGAGGCAGGCTTTCCCTGAGTTTGAAAACCTAGTTAACCCATTTCACAGATGGGAAAACAGGCGTTCAAAGCTGAAGAAACAATGTCTCTGTCAGTAAGCAGCAGAACCTGGGACCAGCCCTCGCCTTTCTGACTCTGGAGCCAATATTCTATCAGACCCTGTCCCCTACTTGACTGTAGAGTGTCTGGAGTGCTCAGCAAGAAACAAAACGAAAACAAAACCATGTGGTTTTGTGTTTTCATTTGGCTTGCATTCCAACTCAATAACTTAACTACATTTCTTTTAACTCTGATGTATTTCCCTAAGGTAAGTGTAATCTCACACTAGTCTTTATTTTGTCCTACAGCACTTACTGTGGTTTTTATTGTTATTGTTTTTTTAAATGAATGTAATTAGGAAACTAAAATTCATTTTTCAATGAGATATTCTCTCCTAGGCTGATGAGTCTGCACCTGTCGGGAACTATAATCAGAGAAAGGAGGAGGAGCAAAATTTTCTGGACAAGCTCACTCAACAGCTGCAGGCGCTTGCTGTGACCACAAGCAGAGAACATAGAACTGAGTATGCCATCTTCTTGCCTTCATTGCTTTCTTTCAGATATTATGTTGCTATCATTTTTACATTTGATTCTGAAATAAATATATGCTATAACAGCATAGATATGAAGAAATGACCACAATGGTCTGAATAATGAACAGTTATTGTGCATGATAGGACACGTCAAATCCCAAGAGAGATGTAAAGATGTGCATGTCCTAGTCTCTGCCCTCAGATTACTCAAAATATAGTTGGGAAAGCAAAACAGAGGTGCAAGAAACTACGTAAACAAGTGTTAAATAACTAGGATGATGCCCTGAGTGTCAGTGTTGATGTGTAAGGAAAATGACTTGCAGTGTCTACTGACAGGGTTCCCTTTCTTATAAATGTTTTTTAAAAATTTGAAGTAGACACATAATTGTTTTTCTGCTGGAGAGAATGTTAATAATATCTCTTACAAATTACAAAAGACTTGTAGGTATAAACAAACCCAATTTGTAGGGAGCAACAAAATATCAATTATTTAGACTCTTCAAATGCTGTTCCCCAGCTTTTTACACTGTACTCTGGGAAAAAAGCTAAGAATGTTGACTTGAAGATTCTAGAATTTTCACTGAATTCTAGCATTAAGAATGACAGAATAGCTGATATTTTACTTAACTTTTCCACCACAAACAACTATAAAATCTATGCAAATAAATAATATGCATTCTTTTCAAGTGAACATATAACATTAGCCAAAATGAGCCATATAGGACCAGAGAGCAATTTTCAATAAATTTCAAAGAAGTGAAGTTGTATATATTTTTTGACCTCTTAGAATTATATTAAAGCTCAATGACAGAAAAATAACTAGATATCACTAAAAGTCTGCAAATTAAGTTACATACTTTATCTGTATGACCCATTAATTCAAGAAAGTGTTGCACTGGAAATTGGAAAATATTTCAAATGATAAAAATGTATGACTCTGGGGCTGGGTTGTGGCTCAGCGGTAGAGTGCTTGCCTAGCACATGTGAGACGCTGGGTTTGAGCCTCAGCACCACATAAAAATAAATAAATAAAATAAAGGTATTATGTCCAACTACAACTAAAAAAATATTTTAAAAAGTATGTATGACTCATGGGTTGCAGCCAAAGTAGTGCTTAGAAAGGAATTCATAGCTTCAATGAATAATTTTAAAAGATACCAAAATTCAATTATTGAAGCTGTTAAAGAAGCCAGAAAAAGAACAAGGTAAGCCCAAGGGAAAGGAAAAAATACAATGGGAACAGAAAACAGTGACATCAACAGATAAATAGTAGGTGCAATCAGCAAAGCCAAACATTGACTTTGCTGTAAATATTAATCAAATTGATAAATTCTTAGCAACACTGATTAAGAGGAAAGAAATAAAATAGTGATGAAGATAAATGGCTCCAGGTATATCCAGATACTCCAGTATACATTCAAGAGCTCTACCACTGAGCCACCGCCTCAGCCCTCATCCTAACTGGCTCTGATGGGAAGCTGACTGCAGGCAGACATTGTTCTAAACACTTTACGGATTGTCACTCACCTGATCCTCATGACAGACTTAGGAGTCAGGTTCTGTTGTTATCTCAACTTTACTTATGAGAAAGGGAGAGCTTACTAGAAGGTCACCCACGGAAGAGAGAGAGCCAGAATCAAAACCCCCACTTGTGTTTCAAGCACTGTGTGAGAGCGCTCAAGCAGCGTGTCCCGAACGGGGGACCCAGGCCGTGGGTGGGGTGCTCTTGTTGCACAGGCCTCGCTCATATCAACCGGCTCCTTGTCCACCCTCAGTCCTTCAGGTCACGAGTGCTCAGCATTGTTGTGGGAACCATTAGTTGTACTTTCCTTTCATTGCTTTTTTTTTGGCCAGCTCCAAAAATGGAACAGTTCTTCAGGGTACAGAGGTTCTGCTCCCACTGGGTTTGTACTCGCATGTTTTTTTCAAGAGATCTCCTCATACAAATGCTTTTTGTAGAACTGATGTGCTTACTGACAAAGAGGAAGATGAGGATTCTTCTGAGGAAGATGAAGAAGATGAAGATGATGATGAAATGGAAGAAAGTGGTGGAGAGGAAGAAGAATCAGAAGAGGAAGAGGAAGAGGAACAAGAAAATGAATCTCCTAAACAGACAAGTAGAAAATACATTGCTCTTGGAGATTTTACTGCTCAGCAAGTTGGGGACCTTACATTTAAGGTAAGTAGAGAAGATGGGGACCTAGTGTAAGGGGAATGTTTCTAAAGGCTCAATCTGTTTAAATAAGGAATTATGATTTACAAGCAGTAGTTATGTGAGAGTCTATTATTAAAGTTACCTGTTCTAAAGATTTTTAAAGTGGCTTTAGTGTTGATAAATCTTAACAAGGGGTAAAATTTTATAATTAGTTTCTGAATGTCATATGTACCAAGTTATTCAGGTGGGTTAGGCAGTATCCTAGCTGAGGTAGGGGGAGCACTATCACACTTCTTCCTGTTGGCTTAGACTTGAAGGGGTGCACGTCTGTTCTAGGCCTGTGCATAGATAAGCGGCAGGTGGGATAGAAAAATGAAGTTGTGGGGTCTTGTTTGTTTGTTTATGCAGAGCAGGGATCAGACATGGCCTAGCCGGGCAGGTGATCTACCCTTGAGCTACAGCCTCAGCCATGCAGGTGTGGTTTGTAAAGGATTTGAGACAGTTTTCTGCTAGTGAAATGAGTCAAAGAAATTTTTATTGACTATATAAATCTTGATCTTTTGTTTAACTTCAAAGTGTGACACTCACTAATAGTAAAATATGCAAGAATATTATACAACTAATATATTTATTGTTTTTTGTTTGGTTTGGTACCAGGGATTGAACTTGGGAGTGCTTTACCACTGAGCTACGTCCCCACCCCTTTTTTATTTTTACTTTGAGACAGGGCCCTTTGCTAAGTTGCTTAGAACCTCACCAAGTTGCTGAGGCTGGCCCCAAACTTGCAGTCCTCCTGCCTCAGACTCCCAAGTCACTGAAATTACAGGCATGTGCTACTGCACTCAGCTAATACATTTTAATTCATAGGTTGTTGTTTTTTTTTTTAACTTTTCCTGGAAAAATGCCACCAATACTAAATAATAATGTATATTCTAAGAAAGTCTTTGCTTTTACGTGTCTTCAGTAGTGGAAATTACTGTTTTTCAAGGATGGATTATATTTCGTACATGAACAAGTATTGTTTTCAATGGACAAGTATTGTTGAAAACATGGATTAGGTAGGTAGGAACATTGGGTAAACTATTTTTGTTTCAAAATAGGGCTTAACTTTAATAGAATCATTTTTCTTCAGGGATTTATATGATACTCCTGGAAGAAATTTTCCAAAGAGAGACTTACAAATTCAAAAATATTTTCTGCAATAATCAAATTGCTAGAATAAGTACGGGTCCTCATAAATGCTTGTGGAAATGGTCCCCATTTGCATGTAGAATTTGAATGTGTGTTGAGCAACCCAAAGGAATGATTCATTTATAGTCACAAAGGTATTGGGGTATGGCAGTAGGGAAGCATTTGATAAAAGTTAGGATAAATATTAAGGAAATATTTCCTTTTTTCAGTATATATTTTAAAGCATTAGTAATGAAATGCTACTCATGACTATTGAGCTTTATTTTTAAATTTGTACTTTGTTTTGCTTTAAGAAAGGGGAAATTCTTCTTGTAATTGAGAAGAAGCCTGATGGTTGGTGGATAGCTAAGGACAGCAAAGGAAACGAAGGTCTGATTCCCAGGACCTACCTGGAGGTGAGTCTTTGTTGTTTATGCTTTCTCCTTCAGATAGATCTCATTTTCAGTTAAACATTAAGCTATATTCTTGGATCGGTTGACTAGAGAATGACTTGAAATTTAAATTTACTTTAGTTTTACAGAGACAGGGCGTGGGGAAGACATTGTGTATTGAGGTCCTGGGGGCCTGTGAAGAGCTCGGGTGAAAGTGAGCCCGGGAGCATTCTCAGAAGGAGGTGGCTCTGTTGCTCTGTGATGTTTATAACAACTAAGAGGCATTTATTATCATAAAACATGGCCACCGTCCACTTGGTGTTTACTTCCACAAATACATTACTCCCTTACTAAGAGGTGAGCATACTGTCCATACATGGTTGGGTCCTGAGTCACAGCACGTGCCACGTGGTGTAGACACCTGTCTGGATCAGCACTGTCTGATAGAAATAAGAGACACACCACACATAGGATTTTAAATCTTCCAGTGACCACACTGAGTTTTTTTTTTTTTTTCCACCCTGACAGCGAGGGTGGGGTTATTATCTGACACCACGGGTGTCATTTTCCATATCAGCTCCTTAGCAACTCAGTTGGATTCTGGCCGGAACTCCTGGATTTAGCACAGGTGCCACACAGTAAGGGCACACTCCCACCAGACTGCCCCCTGTTCAGATGCCAGTCACATGTCCCAGCAGCCACTTGTACTTCTGACTGATTGGCTAAAAATTCAGAAGTCTCCTCTCCTTCTGCAGGGGTCTGATGATTCCCTAGGGTGACTCACAGAACTTGGGAGAACACTTTCCAGTCTGTCCTCTGTATCTGAGGGTACAGAGCAAAAATATCTGAAAACAGTTGCATCTATATTGAGCATATACAAGTCTTTTTCTTGTCATTATTTCCTAAACTATACAATATAATAATCATTTATATGGCATTTACATTGTGTTAGAGATCATAGGTATTTTGTATATGATTTAAGGTATGTGGGAAGATGTGTACAGGTCATATGCAAATACTGTATCATTTTATATAAGTGACTAGAGCATCCTTAGGTTTGGTATCCATGGGGATTCCTGGGACCAGTCCCCTGAGGATACTGTGGGACAACTATACTTGGATGTACTAGTTTATTATAAAGGATGCAACTCAGGAACACCAGTGAAGAAGACGCACAGGGCAAGATGTTGAGGTGGGGCGTGCAGGACCTAAGCATGCTGTTCCCCAAAGCCTTTGTGTGTTCACCCACCTGGAAGATACCCAAGCCCCAGCCTCCCGGGGTTTCTATGGAATTTTGGTTAATCTCATTAACTAAATCACTGACCATTGGTGATGAATTTAATCTCCAGCTCCTCCATCCTCCCCAAAGTTTGGAAGGAAGAGCTGAAGGTTCAAACTTCTAATCCCTTCCTGAAGCTGTCTGGGGGTCCTCTAGAGGCACCTCACTAGCCTGCACACTAGAATGATTGAACTTCTTAGGAATAAGAAAACTTCTTAAGAATAAGAATTCAGGAAATTCCAAGAGTTTTAGGAATTCTTTGCCAGCAAAAGACACAAATATATATTTTTATTACACACATTAAGAAGTAAACAAATAGGGGGAATTATTTTTAATATTTTATATTGTCTAATATATCAAAAATATCATTTCAACATATGATCTATATTTGGACATTGAGTTACTTGTTTTATATTAGGTTCAAAATCCAGTGTGTGTTTACGTGGACAGCACATCTCAACCGTGTTTACGTGGACAGCACATCGCCACGGGTGGCGAAGGGCTATGCACCACACAGGACAGGTTTAGGTCGTCCTTTGGAAGGCAGCAAGCATTCCAGCTCGCGGTGACATTTATTCAGGGTGTTTGCAACCTATAATCACCATCAATTATGCCACAAAGAACCTAAAATTAGCTTCTATGAATTACCAAAAATCTCCCCAAAGCAGCTCACCTGAGGTAGCAGCGTCTTCTCCCACGCGTGGAAGGAGTGTGGAGATGGCTTTCTGGCGCTGGTTCAGGCCCCACCTGGAACTCCATAGCTCCAGGTGAGGCAGCTCTTCCTGGGTTACCTCTTTAGTTAAGTCAGTGGCCAAATCCTTTAATGATTCTGAGCAGCAAAAGGGAAAAGAGGAAAGAATCAAGAAATATGAGCTGCTATCTAAGGAGGTAAAACGTTTTCTGGAAGTTAGAAAACTTCAGCCACATCTTGACGACCAGCATGTTTAGTCCCCAGGCCACACCTAGCTGCAAGGGAGGCTGGCTGGCCAGATGGAGTCTCAGCAGGCCCGATGAGTCAGGGGTTCTGCTAGAGAGGAAGAGGTGGAGGGTGGCCACCTGCAGACTGTTTGGATCAGTCTGCATGTACCTCTTTGTAGACTCTTGGTTGTTCCTCTTGGGTGAATTCCTACATGCTTGTCAGTGCTTCAAAGGGTTTACACCTTTATATTTTGATTTATTTTGCCAATTTTGTCTTGGCAAAATTATGGCCTCTGATGTTAAGAGGGCTTATTTCCCCATGCATCTGCCGAGGCTGGCCAATACCAGTCTTTCTTAGCCTTTGCCAATGTGATCAACAAAACAGCCTCATAGTTTTTATTTGCACTTGTGATACTCCGAATGAGGCTGAGCATCCTTTCATATGATTTACGACCATCTGCATTTCTTCTTTGTGGATAACCAGTTCAGTTTCTTTGACCATTTTTCAAATGGATTTTTTAAAAAATCTTTTTCTTGATTTATAAGAGCTTTTTATAAAATTAACCCTTAGAACTTGGTGTTAATGGTTTCTTTATTGACCTTCAGCTGCATGTATTTTTTATTAGTGAAATATGCTAGCATTTCCATTTATGATTTTTTAAATTTTGGTATCATAACTGCAAAGGGCTTTACCCCACATTTATTTTCTCCTATCAAAGGTAATTCTTTTAATTTTTTTTCATTTGAATAAATTCTACCTGGGATTTATTTTGGTGAAATTGCTGTTTACTTTATAGTCTTTGTCATTGTTTCATATAGTGAAGTTATCAGTCATGGGTTGAAATTTTTTTCCCTGTCACATACTAAATTCCCCTTGTGCCTGAAAGTTTCTGAAAGTCGTAGCATTTTTATTGGTTGATTTTTGTGTTAGTTGGAAAGCACTTCCTGTTTCAACACTTTTCCAGCCCTGTGATAAAGAAGAGGAGCAGGCGACAAGTGAAGAGGGCAGTGAGGAGGACGCCGGGGAGACGGCGAGTGAAGCCGAAGCTAAGCAGAGGTACAGAGCGCGGGAGAGCGAGCAGCTTCTGCCGACTTTTTATTTATTTTTACTATTAAAATAATGTAAGATTTTCTTGAAATGGAGTCAACTTATACCTAGAGAGCTTTTCATATTATTGTTGACTTAAAGGTCATGGCTACTTTAGTTTTGTAATTATTTTTAGTGCATTTAGTTCTAGCTTCGCCTCGCCTAGAGATTGTTTGGTCTTCAGAATCTACTGAGTGTTTGTACTTGTTCTCTGATTCGTGTGGTAACGGGCAGAGGCTGCGCCTGCACTTACCTGCTCTTTCATCTCCCCAGAACTGATACCCACTGCAGTGCTGTTCAAAAAGCTATCTCAGAGGTTGGTATCTGCTGTCTTATTAATAATACCTTATATTTGATGTCTTATAATATTTTTAGTAAATAAGACATTTGGGATGTCTTAGTGTTTTATTATCTATAGTTCTGGTTGAGTTCAGATTCAAACCAGGATGGAGACTCTTTGAGACTGTCTAGATCTACCCAGGCTCAGTTGTGGAAGGTGCAGGGCAGAAGGCTTCTCTCTCTGCCTTAGCAAGCTTGAGCTGCAATCAGCATTTCTCATTAGGGCTTCTGTACAAGAAGAGTAGATCATCTCACTCATGGTGTGATTTCAGAGCTCGGAATCTTTCTCATTGATCCTATCCAGATTATTTATCATTTTGGCAAAGGCTGGCATTAGATTTTAGTTATTATTTGAAAAGTCTGAAAAACCCAGAAAGGTAAGACACTATCTGTAATCCTGTCATTTTAAAAAAATGACATGACAAAATGAAAATTCTCCACCCTATGAGTAATCACCATGAACGGTTCAGTTAGCATCTTCCTGACCTTTTACTGCTCTTCTAACTCCCAAGGAGATGCTCGAGGTGCGGGTGGGTGGGGGTGCACTTACGCAAAGCACCTGTCAGCTCCTCGGGCGTCAGTAGCGATATCATCTGCTGAGTGGCAGTGCAGTATGGGGTGGGGCTGGAGCAGGAGCATTACAGACAGAATGTACTTGAAGCAGCTGATCTAGAAACAAAGCTCTGCGCCCGGCACTGTGTGGGCCCCAAGTCTTTGTGAGAGTGCAGATCCAGTGATGGCCATGTCCTCTCAGGATTTGGGTCACGTTGCAGCACTTTCCCGACATGTGCACGTGGTGTTTTCCCGTTGGGTTGTGCTTGCTGTGGTGCTGAAGGGACACGGTGGGGAGGTGAGGAATCATGGATGGAAACGAGCAGACCACTTTTGTTTGTCCTCTCCTCTGCAGATGAACACGGTGGATGTGTTAACCAGCATGGGGGCTATCCCCGCAGGCTTCAGGCCTTCCACACTCTCCCAGCTGCTGGAGGAAGGTATGGTGGTGCTCAGCCTCTGCAGCCATGCTTGGAGGCTAATTTTTCTCTGGTAGCTAAAACAAGTTGAGGAAGATGCGGAGTTTCACTTCTCTTTGGAGCACATCCTTTCCTTGTCCCTCTTATGACCATGAGCAAGGACCCCAGTTCTATGAGAGGCCCATCTGTTTACCTGTGTTGTGGGCTCCAGCCCTTCCCTTGTCTTTTTAATCGCCAGCCCTTTCCTGCTCTCTAGCCTGCCTGCCCTGCCTTCCCCTGCCACCACTGTGAGCAGCGCACCACAGTGCCACCAGCCCATCCTGTCCCAGCACAGTGCCACCAGCCCATCTTGTCCCAGCGAGGAAGCCTCACTTCCTCTTCCCCTCTTCACAGCAAGGGCTCTCCTAGAGCATCTCCAGTGGGCTTTCTGATTCCTGTTCATCCCTGGATTTCCCGGTACTTGGCAACTTTTGTCTAGAAGCTCATTTTGAAGGGGAGTCATGAGGGGCAGGCTGGCTCCTGTGTGCCTGAGCCATTAACTGTGGGTGGAAGGGCTGCTTCAAGGTTACTTCTGCTGGGAAGGTTCTTCCTGGACCTCCCCAAATAGCTGCCCCTTCCCATCCTGTAGTCTCAGGGTCCCTTCTACCTTGGCAGCGATGCCCGCTCTGGCAGCGCAGCTTCCCTCCCACCCCCGTGAGCACACACACTAGTCTCATGTGCCTACTTCTCTGTTTCCCTCACTCAGCTGTAGGTCAACAAGGACTCTTGGCTCCATTTCCAGCTCCTAGCACAGCCCATGGCACAGGGCAGGGACTCAAATTATTTCTTAAACAAATAAGTGATTTTATAATAAATGTTCTTCATGATAAACTATGGAAGAGGAGTATAAAAACGCTTACGTATCTCCCATATCCCGCGTGGGCAAGGGAATTGCTTCCCTCCGGAGGGATGGGCTGGCTGGGAAGTAACAGCTAAAAAAAGTACCACGAGATGACCTCAGAACACAGGAAAGCAGTTTCAGAGCAGGGGCATCGATGGGCGAAGCTGACCAGATGGGTCTAGTTCCTAACAAAGAATGGAGCCTGCGCTTGCTTTATTTATATCGGAACACATCAAAGACTTTTAGTAGAAAATTCTTCACCAAAGCAGGATAGAGGTGGGGGCAGTTAGGCTGCTCCGTTCCTGACAGGTCATACCCATCTTCGGTCCTGCCCAGGACCTTTTGGCAGAGTGGAGGGGGAGTTCATTTGCATTGGGTGGTCTTGATAGCAGAAGTGCCACTATAAGTTCCCAAATACGAGACCTACCCCCTCGCTGGCTTCAGTGCTGAAAAGGTCCCCGTGCATTTTGTGGATGGATTCCTGCACTTTTGTGTTAAGAACTAGGTTCTGGGGCCGGGCTCAGTGTAGAGCGCTTGCCTAGCACATGTGAGGCACTGGGTCCGATCCTCAGCACCACAGAAGAGTAAATAAATAAAATAAAGGTATTCTGTGCCTCTATAACTAAAAACATATATGTGAAGAAAGAAGCAGGGCTGGGGCTGGGGCTGGGGCTCAATGGCAGAGCACTTGCCTAATATGTGTGGTACCGAGTTCGATCCTCAGTACCACATATAAATAAATAAAAATAAAGTTACATCAGCAACTAAAAAAATTTTAAAAAGAAGCAAAACTAATGGTTATGTATTTTTTCTAAAATATATAAAAATGTTACAGATTTGTGCATTTTATAGAAATATGTGAATAAATCATTTTCATTGTGAAGCATGTTGTTGGTCTAAACTCTTTAAGGTCTTCCTTAAAACTATCTTAAAGTAGTCTTTTATCAGTTTTTAATCTTAAAATTTTGAACATAATTCTGTCTTGGTTCATCTGTCTTGGAAAGCAAGTTGCTAGTAAGCCCCTTGGCATTTTGGAAATATCTGTTTCCTAAATTTGTAGCATAATGTCTTAGACTTTTGGTTTTGAATTTCATTCTTCTTTTCATAAGAAAATAAAGGAAAGCTGTTTTTTCAGGGAATCAGTTTCGAGCAAGTTACTTTCTGCAACCTGAGCTCACGACGTCTCAGCTGGCCTTCAGAGATCTGATGTGGGACGCGAAGACAGGCACCGTGAGTACAGCGACAGCAGAGAAGCTGCAGCCCGGCTGCCGTTGTCCTGGGGCCAGCATATGAGTGACATGTGGCTTTAAAGCAGTGGTGTTCACATAGCCAAGGCAGCACCTAGACTTGGTCCCCTGACTCTGGTTTCTCTTAGCGGTTGCGCCCTCCTCCCATCGCCACAAAGGACGTAATACTTAGTCTCCCTGTTCATCATGCTTTACCTCAGTGTCTTCATCTGGGAACAGGGATGATAGTCCTTCTAACATCGAGCGGTTGTGAGAATTTATGAAGGCTTTGGCAGTGCCTGGCAGAGTATGAGAACGTAGTCAGTGTTGGCCAGCACTGTGCTTTGGATAGGTGCCCCACGGCTTGCTGCCAGCCTGGGGGCTATTGGGAGGCGGTAGGACCTGGAGCTGAGGCCTAGTGAGGGGAAGTTACATGGCTGGGCCACACCCATGAAGGGATCGTGGGACCCCAGCCCCTGCCTCTCTCCCATCTGCTTCCTGGCTGCTGCAAGGTGACACATCACGCCACCATGTGCTCCCCGCTCTGATTCCCTGCCTCGCCACTGGCCCCAAAACAGTGGAGCCAAGCGACCATGGACTGAGACCTCTGAGAACAAGAGCTGAGCAGACTTTGCTGTCTGCAAGCTGCTCATCTCAGATCTCTTGCAGTGGGAAGCTGCCAGCTCCGTCAGGAGGAGTAGGAGTGACATGATCATAGTTGAGTGGGAATGAAAAAGTCGGCAGAACTTCATGATCACACTTTTTGGGTACCACCAAGAATAAAAGATTTTTGCTATCCCAGTATTTGAAGTAGAATATGCTCTTGATCTTTAGTTCTACTTTATATCTGCCTGTAACAGATATAAACTGCATTAGAGTATGTCACTCCCTTCCCATTTACCTTGACTTTACCCCTCAGTGGTGGCCGGGGTGGTAGGAAGGGGGGTGCAGAACTTGGTGCCCTTATTCCTCTCACCCTGAGCATCAACTGGTGCCTTAGTAGGAGGTGCTGTATTGCAAGTGGGCAGAGAGGGGCTGCTTGGTGCACCAGTGCTTGAGCAGATCACAGTTAATGCCATGAACTTGTGCCCAGGAACTAAAAACCCAGCTCTCATTACTTAAATAAAAAGGTGACAGATTATTGATATTATCTTATCTTTTGCAACAATATAAATTATTTAAATGAAAAGGCTTGTGATCATAAAGCAGAATGTAAAGTTTAGCTAATTGAAGCTGTTCTTTAAAAAATAAAAATACAGAATGCCAGTTTATTTATTCACAATCTGACCTTTATCTGTGAAATAGATTTGAACAATCAGACCAAACATTACATTCTATGTCAAAGCATCTAAGAAGCCAAAGAGGAGGTAGCTGGGTGCCGCAGTCCGGCTGCTGTAGGACAGGAGGGGTATATATACATTCCACACAGCTTATCTTAATTAACATAAACTAGATACAGCAGTCAACCAATAAGGAATCTCCACACTTAATGGCTCGCTGGCGTTACTTCACAAACCACTCCCTCTGGCAAAATGCCAGGCGCCATCCCAACTTGTTTACAGACCCTAACATTTCCCCCTTACAGCTGGGTGACATTAATGCCAGGTGTCTTGGTTGTCATGCTAGGGTAACTGTCTACAATTCCACACATCGTATGGGAATGGACCTGGAGACTGGAATACAGTGGTTCGAGGGTCAGGTCATATATTTTACCTGCTAGTACTAGTAGTCTTTCATTGAAATTTTTAAGTGGTTAAGAAAAAAATGCAGATATTTCAAATATAACTTTATGCAAAATTTACCTGAAATAACTGGGTTTGGTTTTGAACAGACTATTGAAACTCTGTGTATGTATATCCATGTAAAAGTTCCTTTTTGTATTCTATGTATATCTTCTTAAGCTGTATTTTACAAATGATGCTTTGGAAATGGATTTGTACTACTATTAATAGGTTTTTGTGTTTTTCTTTCAGATTAAGTCAAGGCCAAGTCGTGTTTCCTTAATCCTCACCCTGTGGAGCTGTAAGATGATTCCTCTCCCAGGAACGAGCATCCAGGTGCTCAGCAGACATGTTCGCCTCTGTCTGTTTGATGGCAGTAAGGTAAGCTCACTAGTTGAACCATCTCACACAGGATGACGGAGAAGCCCTTGTGTGGTACCACACATTAAATGTGGAGTGCACTGTGTGTGAGTATGTGGTACCGCAGTGGGTTAACCCTGGATCTTCAGTTGCTACATGTGTGATGTTGGTACACACACAGTTAACCCATCTGGGCCTTAGATTTCTTCACTTATGAGAGGGACTGGTACCTTCTTCTAGTGTTGTGTACAGTTCAGGTCTAAGTATAGAGCATTGCATTTTTGAAAACGCAATGTATATCCAGCTCCCCAGTCAAGATATGGAGCATCGCCATCTCCCGTGATATCTCCTGGAATCCTTTTCTGCTCAGCTCTTCCCTGATTCCTAAAAAAACATTTTTTACCTAATACCAAATGATAGTCTGAATGACTTCTAAAAAAATAATATATCTTTCATGAGATGTAGCTTAAGTGGTGCTTAGGTAGAAATTCGTAGCTTTAATTGCATATACTAGAAAGAGGGAAGGTTTAAAATCAGTGATCTAAGCTGGGAACTTAAGAGACTAGAAATTGAAGAGTGAGTTAAACCTAAGAATGTAGAAAAGAGGAAATAACAAAGGGTAGAAATTAATGAAATAGAAAACAGATGGACAGAAGAGAAAATCAATGGAGATGAAGGTTGATTCTTTGAAGAGATTAATAAAATTGAAAGATGCCCAGAAAGACTGACCAAGATACTTTAAAAATAGTGAAAGAAAGCTGGGCGAGGTGGCACATGCACACCTGTAATCCCAGCAACTCTGGAGGCTGAGATAGGAGAATCACAGGTTCAAAGCCAGCCTCAGCAACAGTGAGGTGCTAAGCAACACAGTGAGACCCTGTCTCTAAATTTAAAAAAAAAAAAAATAGGGCTGGGGATGTAGCTCAGTGGTTGAGTTCAATCCCTGGTACAAAAAAAAAAAAAGAAGAAGAAGAAAACAAATTATCGATATCTCCCACTGAAATAGAAACATCATTACTGATCCTGCAGACACTGAGGACAGTAAGGGATATTATAAGGAATTATATGCCAGTAAATCTGACAACATTGATGAAATAGATAATTTTATACAAAACCATAATTTACTGAAACTGACATAAGAAGAAATAGAAAATTTGAGTTTCTCTTTTAAAGAAATTACAACTTCAATTAAAAATTTCCTACAATGAAAACTCCAAGTCCTTATGGCTTCACTCTACTGACTTCCCACAAACATTTAAGGAAGAAATAATACCCATCTTATGCAAACTCTTCCAAAGAATAGAAAAGGAGAAAACATTCCCTAACGTATTTCCTAAATCTAGGAAAAACATGACACCAAACGATGACATTACAAGACCAGTTTCCTTCATGGATATAGAAACTAAAATCCTAAACAACATTCTCAAGTTGGATCTAGCAATTTATAGAAAGGACAGTAGGTCACGACCAGCTGGAATTTCTCCCCATGTTCAGATGTACACACCTGGCAGCCAGCATTGGATATGCGAAATTGTGATGTTATTTCATCATATTAGTAGACAAGAAAAAATCATGTGAACATCTCAATAAACATAGAAAAAACATTGACAAATTCCAGTGCCCATTCACAAGTTTTAAGAAATTCTCTACAAACTAGGAACAGATGAGAACTTCCTCAAATTTATAAAGAACAAAAAAAACCTAAATTACTATCATTGACAGTGAAATGTAGAATTTTTTTTTTTTTTTTAGTCTAAGATTAAGAACAAGTCAAGGATGCTAAGAAATAAAAAGAACTCAGTTTTTTAAATGAGCAAAAACTTGAACAGGCCCTTCAAAAAAGAAAACATGAGAAACCAATAGGCATATAAAAATATACCCAACATGTATAATATTCTACATTATTAGAGGAATGTAAGTCAGAATTTACAGTGAGAGACCCACTTAGATGCTCCATACAAGAAGCCCACCTTAAATAGAAAGGGTAAGTTAAAGGGAGGAGGGTTCACTATTCAAGATATTAATGTCAGGCTGGGAATGTGGCTCTGTTGTTGAGCGCTTGCCTGGCATCTGCAAGGCCCTGGGTTCAACCCCCAGTGCATTAAAAAAAAAAAAAAAAAAAAAAGTCAAAGTAGATACATACCCAGTCACCCCATGTTAGAGCTTCAAAACACATGACCTAAAAATTGATGGAACTGAAAAAAGAAATGGGAAAAGCCACCATTATAATTGGAAACTTCACTACTGTTCTCAGGAATATAGAACAAGCAGACAGAAGATGGGAAAGGATATTAGGAATTGATTAACCTATTGACAAACTAGGTAGAATCAGTATTGAGCAGCACTTCACCTCTAAACAGTAAGAAGCACGTTCTAAGTGCATGTGGAATATCCACCAGTCTACACAGGTGGACCTGGGTCAGAAAATAAACCCCAACAAGTCTAAAAGAGTTGAGAGCCATGTACCGTATGGCCTTTGAGCACATGAGATTAAGCTAGATATCAGTAACAGAAAGATCTGTGGGCAAAGTCTTCAAATGCTTGGAAATTAACAGATTTCTAAATAATCAATAAGTCAAAGGGAAGTTAGAAAATATTTTGTACTAAACACAAAGTGGAAGTGAAATAGACAGTCTGGTAGATGTCAGCTAAAGCCTAGTTAGAGGGGTTCCCAGAGTGGGTGGGAGCTGCAGAACAGCTCCTCACGGCCTCACCCCCTAAGCTGAGGAGCCCCAGGCCTCTGTGGGACGTGCAGGCAGAGGCCCTCTGGGGAGGGGACTCCAGGGGGAGCAGGGTGGCCACCAGTGTGGAATCCTGATGGGGAGTGTCTGGAAGGCAGGCAGTGTGAGAAGCAGTGCGCGTCTGTCCTAAAAACAGCAGAGGGCACTGAAGGAGGTGACATGATGAGATTCATGTTCTGGAAAGATCTCTGGCTCCTCTCCGAAGAATGGATTAGAGGGCAGCCAGAGGGGTCTCAAGTGGTCCACTGGGGGCAGGGCCGTGGCACAGCATGGCAGGCAGAGGACAACAGGCATCATCTTCAAGAAGCAAAATCTGGATCCAGCTTGCTTAGGATTGCCCCTGGCGCTGGCATTTGCACAACATGGGACCTTGACCTTGCTCTCAGGCTCCTCCTCTTGTACCTCCTGGGATCAATGTGAGGAAATTGGGTTAATATAAGTAAAGCACGGAGAACAACACATGGAGCATAATAAGTGCAACCAAAAGAATGATGACGATTACAGCTTGGGTGGAGATCAGGTGGGAGGAGATGCAGGAGGCGGGAATCAACGGGCTTGGTAGTGGGCTCACTGTGGAGGATGGAGAGAGAGCAGGTGTGGAGCGGGCAGTAGGTCTCGGACATCCACCCCTGGATAGACCATGGTCAAACGCACACAGGTAGGGAGGCCTGGGGGAGGACTGGGTGTGGCGCTGCCCTGGTGGTTTCCTTCCATCTGAACTTGGGGTAAGGGTGACCACAGGGCTACTGTGCACAGAAGCACCACCGCAAATGCGCCAGGAGGTGTCAGCAGTGACCAAGAAGAGAGAACCTGCTGTACTCTCCTGTTCTCGCATGAGAACAGAAAACAAAAACTAGAATTTCACTTTAATAAGGTGAAAATATGGGATTCATTTTATATCCAGATCCTAGAAGTTCATTTATGAAATTAATTTTTATCAGAGTTTGAAATCGAGAAGTTTTCATCACATTTAATAGTTAGAAAAATGCATTATTTGCTTTTTGAAGGCTTCTTTAACAAATCTAGCCTATTACAAATGAAAAGCTCTGTTGTCGAGCCTGGGCAGTGCCACTCCAGGACGCCCTCCCAGCACCCACCGTCCTCGCAGGGCAGGTGCACCCACACCTGCAGCGTCGGGGGGAGCCTCAAGCCTCTGGGTCTGCTGCCTGCTTTTCTTTTTTGTTTTATTTTCTAGGGCTGGGAGGGAGCCTGGCTTTGTTCTCTCTCCCTGTTGTCCTCTGTTCTCTTTCCTCCTTCTTGCGTGTGGCTTGGACGTTTCTTAGAACTCCATTCTGAATTATCCGTGGTGTTGCGTGGTCTCTCTGGGGGGCTTCCTGTGTGCTTGCTGTAGGTGTCATTTTACACACCCAGCTAATCACAGTGACCACAGGCAGCGTTCCGGTTGGAGAGAGAGGCAGAGACTGTCCCTCTCTATAATTCTCTTTGTCCTCATTCACTCATAACTGGCTTGCACATTTCCTGTACATACACTGAAACCACATCACCCAGTCTTACAATTTTTGCTTCAACCATCAACTGAGAAAATTAGTAGTATTTAGTCAGATCTTTACTGTTCCCATTGATCTCCTTCCCGATGTTCCAAGATGCCTTCTTTAGCTTGTCCCTTCTGTACAGAGAGTGTCCTTTAACCATCCTTTCAGGGTGACAGATTCTCTTAAACTAGCTTTATCTGAGTATCTGTCTCCCCTCCTTCCTAAAGGACCTTTCCATTAGATGTGGGACTCTGGGTTGACAGTTCTTTTCATCTACCTCTTAAACAACATGGTGCCACCTCATCCTGGCCTCTGGTTTCTGCCGAGACACCCACTGCCATCTGAGTCATTCCCTTGGCTTAACCTGGCTGTTTTTCTCTCTTGCTACCTTCAGTGTATTTTTTTTTCCTGTTTACTTTAGAAGTGTGGTGTACCTGGCACAAACCCTTTTGGATCTTCCCTGTTTGGAATTCACTCAGCTTCTTAAATCTGTAGGTTTCTGTCTTTGGCTGAAATTAGGGATTTTTCAGCCATTATTTCCTACAGTACCTTTTAAACTCCTCTCCTCTGGGACTCTGATGACACAAGGGTTAGATCTTCTATTTTAATCCTATAGGCTTCTGAGTTTCTACCAGAAGTGTCACTTCCTCTTCTAGTAAGCATATCTCAGATATTGAGTATTCACTTGATGTGGTTTATTACTATCACAAGGGCACAAATCTGAATCTATTTTATCAGTTCCTTCATTGTTTTATTAATAAGTTTTGGGACCCTTGTTTTCACTGTTTGAAAAGTTAGATGCATACTATATTGGACGTAGAAAGAAACCAGACCTTACAGAACTGCATGAAATAAAAAATGGAAGCCCCTCCTCTCCCTCTGCCCTGCCCAATGTAGCCACTGGTAATTATCTGGGACTCAGAAGGGTGATGTTTCAAAGAATTCCTACAGCCTGATCTGAAATCGGAAAATCTTTCAGGTCCTGAGCAACATTCACACTGTGAGGGCCACGTGGCAACCCAAAAAGCCCAAAACCTGGACCTTTTCTCCCCAGGTAAGAAATCTGCTGAGTAGCAGAACGGGAAACACCCTTCTTTCCTCCTGGGCGATCAGTAGTTAAGACCTAAGGCGAGGCTGTCGGAGCGTCACATTTAGCACAGAACACATGGAGCCACATGTGAACCCTTAGATTCTTTACTGTTCTAGGAGGACTTTGATTAAAATTATTTGTGTTTCTGACTCACCAAGGTTATAATTCCAATGAATCATCCTATTCATTGGATTTCAATTTTAGGAAATGCCCATTTGATGAAAAATGCAGACAAGAAGATAAAATTTAGGAAGTGAGGTGTTTCTCAGAAATGGAATCTTACAACTGCACTAATGACAGTTGTGTTTTCCTCTGATGAAATGAAAGGTGACGCCTAGGGAACCAGTACACTCCGGACTGTCAGAACTGGGATGAGGTTAAGGTTTATACCACTGAGTCAGGCTCGCAGGGATGGATGCTAGTGAATCCAAGATGTCTCTCTGTTCTTTTTATAATACGAATTGTCTGTAGTTCACCTACTTCCACCCCCAGGTTTCATTACTTGAGTGTTTACTTCCCTCCCACAACTAACTCCCTTTGTTACTGCACCCTAATTACCCTTCTCCTAATAAAGATCTTAACACAATGGGGGTTCAGCAGAGGGCACTGGCTGTGAGTGAGGCCCGCCGCTCGCTGGGTGCTGCAGGCACCCTTGCTTGACTAGCACAATGCCTGAAAGTGAGTGTGGCCTCCTGATTTCCTGACCTCCCTGCCTCCAGGGAGACACACCACATATATTTGGGTCTGTCATTTCACAGTTCTGTGACACACAGCTGTGTGTCATGCTTTCTCAGGATATAAAGGTGAGCTTTGGGAGGAATAACTAAGTGCTTGTCACCTTCCTGAATGAACTGAGGCATCTGCTACGTGCCCACATTCTTCCTAGGTGCATGAGGGTTTACTTGTATGTCAGTGGGGAAGAAACACAGCTGCAAACAATAAGAATGCTCTCTACTTAGGATGCTCTAGCCACGCACAGGCCCTTGGGTCCCTGCTTTATTCAATCCTTAGAGTCGCCCTGTGGGGCGGGCGCTATGGATTACTCCGGCTCAGGCAGGCTGTGAGGATATGGGGCTCCAAGCGCTTTGGGAAACACAGAGGAGGGGGAAGTTAATTCTAGCCCTTGAGCCTCAGGAGGTTTTGTAAAAGAAAACTAGACCTCAAAGACTGAGTAGGGTTTTATAGGCAAGAAAGGGAGGATGTGCTGTGTAGGGAGAGGGGTGGGAGGAGCCCAAGGGGAGGGGGCCTGTTCCAGGCAGGCATCAGGAAAGCCCAGCAGACGTGTGTGCCCAGCCACTCAATTCTGTTTAAAATGAACAGTGATTGGCATAAAAACCTTATAACATATGCCAAGTGGGCCTCGAGCACCTCGGGGGCGGTTTGCCGCACATGTTGTATGTTAGCCCTGCTCGGAGAAAAGTAAGTGAAGAGAAAGATGTTTCCCTCAATAAGGGAGCTGAGTGTGTTTACCAAGTCAGTGGTGTGGATGGGTCAGTCCGTCTGCTCTTAACTTTCCTTAAGAGACCTTTGTGGTAATACAGAGGCACAAGCCTTGTGCCTTGGACGGGGCAGACCGCCCCTTCCCACTGTGCACTGTGGTCAGTAACCCCACATTTCTTTATCGTTCCAGGTCACTGGCATCTTGCCATGCTTGCTCCATGGCGACTGTTTTATCAGGTCCAATTCTTCATCTCCAGACCTGGGAATATTATTTGAACTTGGAATTTCTTACATTCGCAATGTATGTCAAATGCAAGATAAATGTCACTTTATAATATACCAGTTAAAAGGAAATTGGCAGGCCGGGTGCCGTGGTGCAGGCCTGTGATTTCAGCGACTCAGGAGGCTGAGCAGGAAGATGGCAAGTTCAAAGCCAGCCTCAGCAACTTTGAGAGGACCTAAGCAACTTAGTGAGACCCTGTCTCTAAATAAAAAATTAAAAGGGATGGGGATGTGGCTCAGTGGTGAAGCACCCCTGGGATCAGTTCCCAATACAAAAAAAAAAAAAAAAAAAGGAGTGCTGGAGTGTGTGTCTGTGAGTGAAGTCCTAGAGGGTTTCCCTGGGTGGGATTTTCATCTCTGGCGGAGTGAGCTGGCAGTGCTCATGATTCTTATGCAGTGCTGCTTTCTCAGTGGCATTTAAGATGAACAGGATCTGCTTACATGTGTAGCACCAGTGAACGCCAGAGCTCCTAAAGAACGGAAATTCAGAACAGAAGGGGTTTTCAGAAAGTGATTAGAAGCACCGTGGCACTCCAACCCCGGGACCAGTGCATCTGGCCCTGCAGTCAGCAATTCTTATTGAGAGACCTGGCCAAGTGGCGGTTCTGTGCAGGGAACACCAGAAGCATGGTGTCCTGAACTGCTGGAGCCGAGGCGTGGCCATGCTAGCAGCCCCCCATCTCCCACCCCCTAGCAGCATCTGAATGCAGTATAGGAACCCGGCCCCTCGTAGCCCAGAGCCACCATAGGTACCCTGTGTACTGCATCATCCCGCGTTTCTTTAGGACAAGTACACCCAGGCGAGTCGCAGATGAGTCAGAGCGAGGAGAGGAGCAGCCCAGAGCCAGGCCCAGTGGCCTCTGGCAGTGGACAGTGGGGCAGACTTCCAGGTGTCAAGGCCTTTGCATGCTGAATCCCCACAGTCCACTGCAGGGAGACAGAGCTTGCTGATCCAGGAGCACCCATGTGCCTCTGGGTGATGCCACAGGAAGTGCTCAGCTCCTGAGGCACCATAGCCAACTGTTGGCACGTCATCAGTTTCAGGGATTTTCAAGGGAAATTTTGACAAAATGTGAGCATCACTTAAAGTGCCACCTCTGCTCTACCGTGGAACCCACCATGTTTCATTTTATTTTCTGGGGCAGAACTGCTTAGCCTTAAGGGGGGGTACTGGCCTTGTTCCTTTCAGGGGCTTGCATGTGCTTATAATTTGACTCATTCAGATGTTGTTTCTCAGACTTGTTTTATTTCCTAGTCAACAGGTGAGAGAGGAGAGTTAAGTTGCGGCTGGGTGTTTCTCAGGCTCTTCGATGCCAGTGGCGTTCCGATACCAGCAAAGTAAGTGCGCTGTGTATTCCTAGCAGTCGTGTGATTTTGTAGAAGTTCTTTTTTTAGGATCAAGGAACTCAGGTTTGTTCTGTTGGCATGTCAACAGCTTTTGGGGCGAGGGCTTTTAATGTTGATTTTAGTGTTGTATAAAGTAGTGTATGAAAGCAACACACACACTCTCACCCAGAGAGGGAGAAGGACACATAGGACGTGTTCTAGAATATGCTTGCACTGTCTGTCTGCTGGGACTGTTCCCTGAAGTACTGGCACATTCCACCATGCTGAAAACAGTGCGAAAGCTAAGTCCAGGATCCCCAGGTCCTCTGTGAATCTGTGTAGGACATTGAAATTATAGCAATTTTTTTAATACTTATTTTTTAGTTGTAGTTGGACACAATACCTTTATTTATTTATTTTTATGTGGTACTGAGGACTGAACCCAGGGCCCCGCACTTGCTAGGCAAGTGCTCTACCTCAGCCCCAGCCCTCCTGTAAGCAAATTTAAACTTTAAAAGCACAGTGCAAGCTAGAAGCAAATATAATACATACCACAAAGTTGGAATGTTGTTAGCCCTAATGTAAAAAGAGCCCTTGAAAATTAATAAGTAAAAGATCATCTGAATTTTTATTTATTTATTTATTGGTTCCAGTGATTGAACCCAGGGGTGCTTAACCACTGAGCCACATCTCCAGCCCTTTTTATTTTTTATTTTGAGACAGAGTCTCGCTGAGTTGCTTAGGACCTCACTAAGTTGCTGAGGCTGGCTTTGAACTTGTGATCCATCTGCCTCAGCTTCCCAAGTCACTGGGATCATAGGCATGTGCCTCCTCACGCAGCTCATATGAATTTTTAAATGGGGAAAATAAAGATCTAAGTCTAGGATATAAACAGGACATTCACAGAGGGCTACAGATGGACAAGAAGTAGGGAGGATGGTGATCAAGATCCTAAATTTGTCATTACGGAAACTCAGGGTGCTGGGTCCCACACTGCCTGTATAATAGGAGGTATGCACCATAGTATCCAAATTCCCCCCACCTTTAATCTGGGGAAATAATTCCTACCCCACAAGCTCCTGGTGAGGATTAACTTGGATAACATGCCCTGCACAGCCTCCTTACCACTGGGCAGACGTGAAAGTTCTGAACCCTAGTTTCTAGCCTCATCCTAGCCAGAGCAGGAGGGGCGCCCCATTATCAGGAGTGAATACAGAAACCCAAGTTTCTTATGATTCTTTAAAAAATATGTTCAGGGTTTTCATTTATACTTAGAAGAAAAAAATAAGGAAACATCCAAAATTCTATCTTGGCAAAGTGAGGTCCCAGTTATTTCCTAGGAGGTGGAGCTCGGTCGACAGGGAAGCATTCTGATGTGTATTATGAGGCACAGGGAGTCACAGGGTGGGTGACAGGGCAGGAGACTTACTGAACTAGGGGAAAGGACAGAGGAATTTTTCATTTTTTAAGTGTGGTGTCTATGCCATTCCAACATTTTTCTTAAATATTTATTTTTTAGTTATAGGTAGACGCAATATCTTTATTTTTTATTTTACGTGGAGCTGAGGATCGAACCCAGTGCCTCACGCATGCTGGGCAAGCGCTCTACCTCCAAGCCACAACCTCAGCCTCCATTCCAACATTTTACAATGATCTGTGTTACTGTTTTACTTTAAAAATCATATAAATTCATAATGGCTTAATTTCAAATATTGATTTAATACATTTAAAAAAGGTAATTACTTGCTATTAACAAGTCATTCAAGTCAAAACATCTTTATTTTTATTTGTTTATTTTTATGTGGTGCTGAGGACCGAACCCAGTGCCTCACGTGTGCAAGGCAAGTGCTCTACCACTGAGCTACAGTCCCAGGCCCATCTTAATAACAAAAAGTAATCTTTCTCATTTTCATATATTTCCTGTGTTGATGCTTGGGACAGAGTCTCTTTGCTGAGATGACACCCCATGGAAGGGTCGACATTGTCATTCTCATTCATCAATGAGACACAAATAGAATGAATATATTTGTGCTAAAAATGTTTCACTTCTGGTTCTGGTGTCTACGGAATGCCCGCCGTGCGCAGCCATCATAGTATGTTATTCTTTCACAGAACTTACGAGCTCTTCTTGAATGGTGGCACTCCTTATGAAAAAGGTGTTGAAGTGGACCCTTCAGTGTCCAGAAGAGGTACTGCAGTGGTGCGCTGCCTTCTGTCAGTCAGCTTTCCGTCACTGTGACAACGTACCTGAGATAATCAACTTCAGAAGAAAGAGGTTTATTTTGCTTCACGGGTTTCCATCCATGATTGCTTGGCCGTTTCTTTGAGCCTGTGACATCATGGTGGAAGCACATGGCAGAGGAGGCCTGTTCATCTCATGGTTGCCAGGACTCAGAGGAAGGGTTGGGGTCCAGTATCTTCAACTGACCAGTGTCCTAGCCTCCTCCCATAAGGCCCCATCTCTTAAAGCTCCCACACCTTCTCCCTCAGTGCCACAGACTGGTGACCAGGCCTTTAATTTGTGGGCCTTTGGGGAACACCTCAGATCCAAACCGTGGCACCTCCCCTTCCTTAAAGATGAAACAAATGGCAGAGGCTTCAGAGAAGGCAGCCATATTCCAGTAAGCATGACAGTTTCTACTTGGATTCACGTGTTTTAAGCTGTGCCATTTGGTGATGTGATCTTAGTCACTTTTATCTAAGTGATTGTTATTTTGGTAGCACATGTAAGACTATAATGTTGAAAAGCATGAGAAATGGGGCCCTGCATTAGTTCTGTCGCTGAACGCTGAGCTGATGCTGTGGCAGGTACAGAGTGAGTAAAGCCGGCTGCCTCAGAGATGGCCCATTTCAGGGTCAGGGCGTGTAGGCATTGAAATCGTGACATGCATGCCACCTCACCCTCCAGCCACCCTCCAGGAAGATGGAGCACCCGTCAGTATGTCCGTTGGCCAGGGGACACTAGGGAAGGGAGTGGAGGGCAGCACAGATGGGCCCTCCCTCGGGGAGCTGCGGACTGACGGCTGGAGCCCCCTCGCATGCCTCAGCCCTCGCGTCCTTGTGTGGTCCAGGACACCAACCCTGGCTGCTGCCCGGTGCCAGGCTCTCTCCTCCTGGGAACAGGAAGGAGTTGGGGTTTGGGGTGCAGGTGCTTCTTCCTGGGGCCGCATGTGCCCTTCCCCCTTTCCCTGCGTGCTGCTGCGGCTATCTGCCCTAGTGGCCAGGGGGTGCTGTAGGGAGGCCCCAGGTTGCTGTCACCGCCCGGTCCCTTCTGACAGCCGGAGGGGTGTGGGCGCTTCCTGCCTGCTGTAACCACCAGTTGTGCTGACCTCTCACTTAATAGTCTTACCAAACGCCCATTCCGAGCGCTGACAGCTGTGGGTGGGTCTGTTTCTGTTTTGACAGCGCAAGGCAGTGTTTTCCAGCAGATGATGACCATGCGGAGGCAGCCTCAACTCCTGGTGAAACTGAGGTCTCTCACCCAAAGGTCGCGGAGCATGCTCAGGTACGTCCCGCTTCCCGGGCAGTGCCTGCGGGGCACCCATCTGTTGGCTGTCTCTTGTCAGTTACTTTTCCCCCCATTAATTATTTTTGCCAAAGAGCAGAAGAGAAATAGAAAAATAATAAAGCTTAGCATCATTTACTCTTCTTTACCATTTAGCTCAAGTGACAGACTTGGTAATAAATCCTTCAGCTACTTTTGAACAAATGAGACTGACCAATGCCTGGGCCTATCTTCAGGGATATCTTTTTTTACTTGTTCTTTTTGGTTTTATAGGACAGGAGAATGTATTTTGACATATTTACATACATGGTGTATGACTTCCCATTCTTGTGGTTGTACATAGTGTGGAGTTCCACTGGTCGTGGGTTCATATATGAACACAGGAAAGTGACGTCCCACTCGTTCTGCTGTCTTTCCTATTTCCAGCCCCTCTCCCTCCCCCTCATTCCTCTTTGTCTAATCCAGTGAACTTTTCTTCTTCTCTCCCCTCCCCTTATTGTGCGTTAGCATCTGCATATCAGAGAGAATATTTGGCCTTTGGTTTTGGGGGACTGACTAGCATATTTCACTTAGCATGATAGTTCCATCCATTTATTGGCAAATGCTATAGTTTCATTCTTCTTCAGGCTGAGTAATGCTCTGTTGTGTGTATAGATACCACATTTTCTTCATCCATTCATCTGTTGAAGGGCACCTAGGTTGGTTCCATAGCTTGGCTACTGTGAATTGAGCTGCCATAAACACTGATGTGGCCAAGTCACTACAGTATGAACTTTTTTTTAAATGTTAGGTTTATTTAGGTTTGACTTGCATGCAGTAAAATTTATGATTTGGGGGTTGCAGTTCCTGGAGTTTTGACAAATGTACCGATCACATGACAATCACCACAATCCAAAGAACACTCCCTTTTCTCTCAAAGGTTCTCTTGTGTCCCTCTGTGGTCAGCTCCCAGCCCCGGCCTCGGGGAAGCACTCCTCAGTTTTCTTCCCCAGCACCTTGGCCTTTCCCAGATGCTGTAGGTGGATTCACGCGACCTGTGAGTCTGGCGTCTTTGACCATCATACATCCGAGGCTCATCCGCGCTGTTGCCTGTGTTAGTGATTTGTTCCTGTTCATTCTAAATGGTAACTGCTGCATTTGATGGACATGCCACCGTGTGTTTATCATCCTCTAGTTGGTGGTCTTTTGGGTTTTTCTAGGTTTGGGTAACTATAAATAAACCTGCTCTAAATATTTGCATACATGTTTCTGCGTGTGTGGACGTGAGGCTACCTACATCTCAAGTAGGACTGCCTAAGAGGGTTTGCTGGTACATCTGGTGTTGGTCTGGCTGCTTCCTTGAACGCCTGTGCCATTGACCCTCTCACCCTCACTGTGCACGGGTTTCAGTGACTCCGTGTTCTTGGCAGCATATGGTATGATTTTTCTGTTTAGACCAGTTTAAAAAGTGAACAGCAGTTTCTCACCATGGTTTCATTTGCCTTTTCCTGGGGAGATCCCAAAGCTTCCAGTTCTCACTCGATGCCCTGTAGTCATGTAACCTTCTCTTGGGGTTTCAGTGGCTGCCTCTTTAAAATGGGGATAATAGCAATATCAATTCCCTCCAGCTGTAATGAGGTTTAATTGAAAGCAAGTATATGAAACACTTAGTCCATATTTATAGTCCCTGGCTATAGGGAAACACAATGGTGTTGGCTATAATTATCTATATCATAATTATTTTATATCCAAATAAATGTCAGTGCACACCAGGTAGATACATGGTGCCATATCCTGAAATTTGTTCAAATGAAGAGGTGCAGCGCAGCTGGTAGGATTGAGGAGTTTAAAACAGATGTTAACCGATTGGAGGGATGAGAGGGCCTTCCTCCAGGTCACACAGGGGACACGAGATGGTGAGCCTGATGCAGGTTGGGGAGCAGCAGGGGAGGCAGACTGATGTGGCCCCTGAGTGGTGGCTTCCGCCCCTGGGTCAGGGCCTTGCTTTAAATATCCCCTGTTCCCTCTCCAGAGCTGACAGGTGCTTGTCATCACACACAGGTGCTGAGTCTTTCAGTAACTGTTAATAACGTCTCTCTCCTTACCTGCCCCCCGCCCTTTTTTTCTTTCCTGGCTCTTTTTTCGTGGACCTTTTTTGGCAAATCTTTCCTCAGAAAATTGTGGGGGTTTTTTCCCAGTGAGAGGAGAAGCACAGTAGCGGTCTTTGTCAGGGGCCAGCCGGATCCCGTGGGGCCTAGTTCTCCCTCTTGCTGCTGCTGCCAGCCACTCCTCCGGGAGTCCAGGGCACCCATGCAGCCCTGTCAGCACAGTGCTTCCGGCAGTTTCTGTGGCTCCAGATACTAGCTTTTAGGTCCTTTCACCATCTCAAGGTCAGGTTTGACTGTGGTGCAGGGGGTGGATGAAACTAGGAGCACTCTTCTGTGTGTTGGGTTACTAAGAAGGGCCCTGGGTCCTTGTCCCCAACCTCAGGGACTAAGGCTCTCTCTTGAGTGTAGTGCACACGGGCACCCAGACCTTTGGTGTCAGAGCACGCCTCTCAAGAGCCCTGCTGCTGCCGCCCCTGCCTGCTGAGAGCCATAGCCAAGTTGGAATGGGCATGGCTGTGCCCAGCCAGACTGCGGCACCTGCCACTTACCCAGACTTGAGGGCTGTCCTGGCATTGCCTCTGCACATGGCAGGATCCTGCCGTGTGTGCCCCTGGTGATGCTGAGGGTGGGTTTGGGCACCCTGCTGGTGTGACCCAGGGACAGCCTGGCTCACCGACAGCAGGCCATGGCAGTGAAGCCAGAGGCCCTAGGCCTTTCCACAGCCGTGGACCATGGGCTGCGGTGTATGTAGGTCAAGGTCAGGGGCTGGATGTGAGCTTTAGAATGTGGCTGCCCTGCCTGAGCACCTGGAGGGGCAAAGGCAGGACTGACCCAACTGGGCATCCTTGCCACCCATCCTGCTACCTGCAGAGAGAAGGGAGCGAGTGTGGCATCTGCAGCCCTCTCTTTCCAAGGTGCATCCACCTCCAGCCCCACCTGCCCTGCCTACCAGCTCCACCTTGGCTCAGCCACGTCTCTGCTCACAGGAGACAGGAGGGGTCTTTCCAGGATGCCAGTGAGCACAGAACAGTGGAGCAGCAGCACCAAGAGCAGTAAGCCCAGTGTCTTTCTCAGAGCCCATCGTCTCCTAGGGCCCTAGCTGCCCCAGCCCACAGCCTTACATGAGTAGAGCCTGTGGGTGTCAGGAGACCTTGAAAATGCAGGTGAAGCTGGGCAGACCCGTGCTCCCTGGAGAGAGCTCCAGGGTCCTGCGCAGGGGCCCAGTTCAGTGAGCTGGCTGGGCTGGGACACGCTAGGGGGAGCTGTCAGCGTGGCAGGGAGCACACAGGTGTCTCAGGCTCCCCAAGGCTTGGCTTTCTGACTCTGGAGCTATTCCAGATCTCACTTAGTGCCCTATATTGTTTAGCCTTCTCTCAGGGTTAAATAGGAGTTACCCTTCTCGTTCTGGAGCTCTTGTACAAAGGGTTCAATTTGCAGTGATCAGATTCTCAGCCCCTTAGGGGAGGGGAAGCTCTGAGTTTGAACTCTAAGTTCAGAGCACCAGGAAGCGCTGGCCTGTAGAAGCAAGCTATGTGCACGTGTGTGTGGTGGTGCTGGAAATGGACTTCCCTTTGCCTTTTTGATGCATTCTGTTCCTCTCTTTTAATGCTGTTACATTATTGCTAAAAATAAATAGGATATGGCCTACCTGAGGCCCATTCACCCCAATCACAGCACCTCTGCCACCAGAGACTGCTGGTCCCCATGTGAGGTCAAGAGGACATGTTCTTACTTCTTCAACTCAGCTAACCTTTGGTGACACAGAACTTTCTGGCCATCTTAGGTTTGGAAAAATCAGGAGGTTTCTCTAAAGGAATTAAAAAAAAAAAAGGTAAGCAGCATTGCCTCATGGAATGGGAAGGTGCCAGAAGGAAAGGCGTGCCCACTGTGGGAGTGCCCTGCCTGCCAGACAGATGAGCAGGGAGGTGGGCAGCAAATGAGGGGTTGAGAAGCAAGGAAGGAAGGAGGGCTCCACCCTTCCCCTGCGCAGCACAGCGACCACTGTTACTCAGCAGCAGCTGGAACAAGGGCCACGGGGGCCGTGGGCAGAGCAGCCCCTGGAGTAGCAGCACGACCGCTGGGTGCACACGGGGCACTGAGGCTGCCAGTCTGCGACTCGTAGGTCAGGAGCAGACGTGGGAACCTGAGTGGCTTCGAAGAGGGCCGCGGCTGCTCCCGCTTGGAGGTGGGGGAGGGAGAGCTGGCCTGCACCATGCCTCGATGCCTCTGGACAGTGGGCAAGGTGCTGCTCCAGTTCCCAGGAAGCTTAGGAACGGGGATCCCCTCGCTCAGGCCAGCACAGGGTCACGATCACTATTTCCTTCCAACCAGCTGGAAGCCTGAACATGGCCCCAAGGATGATTGTTCTAAAACCCTGGAGTTAAGATAGAGGATTAATTTATAAAATCAAGACCTCTTTTATAACTTCTGAGTGTAAAAGTGAGTCTCTTATAGGAAAGCATATAGTTGGATCTCGTTTTGTATCCATTCTGACAATCTGTGTCTTTGAATTGGGGGTTTAATCTATTACACTTAAGGTCATTGCTGGTCGGGGCTGGGGACGGCCTCAGTGGCAGAGCCCATTCCCAGTGTGCCGAGGCCCTGGGTTCCAGCCCCAGCAGCACCAGATAAAGTGGTCGCTGGCAGGCGGGCCTTGCCCTGGGCGGTTGTTCTCTGAGTGTCCTGGAGTTTCTGTCCTGATTTCCCCCTCATGCTTCCCCTGGTGTTGAAGTGATTTTTAGAATGACACAGTTGGTTCCCTTTCAGTTTCCTTGGTGTCTGTTCTGGAGGTGGTTACCATGGGAGTGGTGGGTCGTATCCTAAAGTCACAACAATTTATTCTAAACCGATACCAACTGAACTTCAGTACTGAGTCCTCTGTCCGCCCCGAGTCCCTGCCCCATCTCGGGCCCTGCACCAGGCCTTCCACGCCACCTTTAACCCACCCAGTTCCTTGAAATGCAGGTAGCAGCTCATTCCACAAACGAGGAAACGAAAGCACAAGGAGAGAAGTTAATTAATCCACAATCAGGAAGTGGCCAAGTCAGGATGCCACAGGCCTGTCCCACCCCCGTGTCCCACCCTGCCCTGACTGATCTGGCATTTCCTCTGCACTCGCAGCCAGGCGTGGCAGCACATGCCCTCTTACAGCCTGTAGCTCCCTAATCCCCTGCTCTCCAGAACATGCAATTGATGACTTTTTACTTGACCTTTGACGTGGGCATGTAGGCCAGCATGGCGACTCAGAGCTGAGACTCCAAAGTGTCACCTAAAATACAAGTCGACTGGAGTTTAATGTGACCAGCTGGAGTGGAAGTTTCACCTTTAGGTTGTTAAAATGTTTCCAGTAATGAAGCAAAACTTGCAGCCTATCCTTAGAGTAATTACGGTAAAAAGCCCTGTGGCTGGCCGGCCTAGGGGCTGTTTAGTGACTGCCTCTTTGTTCTTCTGTAACAGCCTGCTGCCAGAAACACTGATTGGAGGGATGTGCTACGTCCACCTGCTGATATTTTATCGACAAATTCTTGGAGATGTGCTCCTCAGGGACAGGATGAGCCTGCAAAGTGCTGGTAAGGGGCCTGCGTGGTTTCCTGTGCTCCTGAGTGTGTGTGACCCGTGCCACCCTCTGTCTTCTGCCTGTAAATGTGACATTGGGAACACCATATTAGAAGTGCACCTGGCCCTTCCTTTGTGGGACTCCTTCAGAACACTGAACTTCGTGAGCTCAAGTGCATGTAAATTCTTCCACATATTCTCATTTTAAATTCCGGAGGTTGGAGATCCTAAAACACAGATATAATCAGCGCATCCAGTAAGGAGTGTTCTGGGTTCTAGGCGCTAGTTTTACTTACAGCTTCTTTAAGTTTGAATTTTTTCCAAGTCCAATAATTTTAGGAAATCAAGTTTCTTACATGAATGAATTGACAATGAGAGAGAAATGTGTTACCAGAATTGCCTCTAAAAAGAAAAATAGTTTAAATTTATTGGATAGCCTTTGAACTCATTAATAAACGAGTAAGCAGATGTGTCCTGTCCCGTGTGCCAGACGTGGTGCTGGCCCTGGTGAGTGACAGAGGCATGGCTGCCTCTCAACCCAGCAGTGCAGGGCTGAGCCTTTCCGCCTCCACAGGAAGTGCTCTGGAGGAAGGAAGCGTGGAGAGGAGATCAACAGGGTCCCTTCTGGGGAGAGGGGTGGCGTACCTGAAGGCCCAGGCAGGAAAGCTGCAGGAGCTGAAGGGACACCAGGGAAGGCAGGCCAGAGGGGACAGGAGAGTGAGTGAAAGAGCAGCCCGACTCCTGTTAGACAGAGTCCACACCCAGGGACTTACCACCTGGTACCTGGCAGCTCAAAGTCAGCAGCCATTTTTTTTAAATATTTATTTATTTATTTTAGGTGTAGATGGACACAACACAATGCCTTTATTTTTATGTAGTGCTGAGGATCAAACCCGGGTCCCGCCCGAATGAGGCGAGCGCTCAACCCCTGAGCCACAATCCTAGCCCCAGCAGCCATTTTTAAGCAAGGCCATACTATAAGGGAGGATCATTAAGCCTGTTGAGTTTATTTTAATGACTCTAGAAAAACTTCACAAGTGACACAACTTCTTTTTGTTTTTGTTTTTTGATACTACCACTGAGCCACATCCCCAGCCCTTCTTATTTTTTATTTACAGATAGGGTCTTGCTAAATTGCTTAGGGCCTTGCTAAGTTGCTGAGGGTGGCTTTGAACTTGCAGTCCTCCTGCCTTGGCCTCCCTGGTTGCTGGGATTACAGGCATGGGCCACCACACCCAGTGTGACATGACCCTCCTGCAGGTGAGAATATCACTCAAGATGGCTGACTGCATTTGATCATCAGAGTAAGCATAATAAGATCAAGAGGAGGGGTTTTTCTTTAGTGAGAACATAAAATTATAGAATAGATTTGCCCTTTCAGAAGCCCCCCTGTGTATCAAGTCTCACTGCAGCAATGGTGTTAAGAGGTGGGACCTGGAGAAGTGACTGGGGGAAGGTGCCTCTCGTATGAAGGGCCTAGGTGCCCTTAGAGGAGCTGGCGCAGGGAGTGTGCCTTCCCCGCCCTCCTGCCTTCCCCACGTGGGCCCCGGCATTCCTCTTCTTCAGGGGAGCGACACAGTAAGAAGCCGGATACCAGCTGCTGGTGCCTTGGCGGTGGACCCCAAGGACTCCTCCTCCAGAGCTGTCGGAGGTGACCTGCTACTGCTGCTCAGGCACCAGACAGCAGCAGGGACATTAGGCCACAGTGTATGGCGCCTTGGCCAGCTGCCTCCTGTGCCACCCTCCTGTGGGCCATCGGTGCTGTGGTGCTGTCCTATGCGTCTGTAGCCGTGGGGCCAGGCCCTCCAGTTCTGGATCCTTCCAGTTTCACCCACCACCACCCACTGGCACCTACCCAAGGCTGGGGTCCTTCCCAAGGGCTGGAGTCACCCTGAGCAGCGGCTCCCCCTCCTTCCCCTGCATTTCCTGGCTCCTGCCTGCCCTCCGGGAGCAAGGCTACCTAACTGGAAGTTCCTCTTGCCAGGCCACCCTCATAGGAGGAAGGGGTGGAAATGTGAAAGAAACCCCAGGAGAAGAAATAAACTTCCCAGCCTCCCTGTTCAGAGCCCAGTGACCCGCACCCTAGCAGGAATCGCTTTAAACTCCCTGAATCAGGACAAGGGGGTCGGGGGCACCGCCTTGAGCCTCCTGGAAGTCAAGGTGTGTGGCGGGTGTTAACGACTCATTTGGCCCAATCATTTAATGTGAGTGTTTTTAGATGCAGGGCAGAGAGGTGCATTGACTCTGTGCTGTGTCTTTCAGATCTGATTAGTCACCCCATGCTGGCCACCTTCCCCCAGCTCCTGGAGCAGCCCGACGTGATGGACGCCCTCAGGGTGAGTAGACGGTGCCCATGCACCTGCTGGCTTCGCTTTAGTGAGCTCTGTCACCCAGGTCTGTCACCTGTTCAGTAGATGGCATTTCCTAGGACTGTTCCGCTATCAGGGTACAAGCTCTTGCCAGGCCGCCCCCCCTGACCCAGCAGCACTAGGTACCTATGGTCCCTGTGGCATTTTTGTGCCTGCTTCTTTCTGGGCTTAACATGACCACCAGTGACATCCTAAAAGCGGAAACCCATCAGCTGAATTCTCAGAGGCGAGTCAGGGCACGCAGCGCTCCTGAGGGCCAGTCCACACGGGTTGCTGCATCTAGAACAGCAGGGACGTTAGGCCAGAGCATGCGACATCTCCAGTGTCCAGTGGCTTTGGCCTTAAGAGATGGCGGGTCCCCATGGCTCAAGCTAATATGTCAGGATTAAAAAACATTAGAGGACCCATGTTCATGCTATGTGCATGCCCAGAGCAGGACGGTGCCCTGGGCTGTGGCGACTTAAAGAAGGCAGCAGTGCTTCATTAAGGAGCTCTGGGCTGGGCCAGCGAGGATTTCAACTCACGAGGGCAGGTGAAGACGCTGAGCAGACATTCCAGGCAAGAAGGAATCAGTGGAGAGTGTTCCAGAAGAGAGCCGTTTTCTGGTTTGGCACAGTGGGTGTAGGCCAGGGAGCGACGGAGCGTGGGCAAGGTCGCGGACCCAGTGTGGAGGGCACGGGCACAGGGAGTGGTTCCCGCCAGGCTTGTGCTGCAGGTGGGCTCCTCCTCAGCCCATGTGCAGGAAGGAGCGGCCGGGCTCTGGGGACTCAGTGGCTAGGAGGGTGGTCAGAGGGCCTGACAGCAAAGGTGGAAGGCCTCGGTCGTCCCTGGAGATCTCCGGACCTGCAGTTGACTGCATGCTGGCTTGACTGGAATGGGGGAATAAGAAGATTCTCTTTGGACCTTTTTCAGCAAAAAGGTCATGGCCGTGGCCACTTGCATGGTCCCCTGGGGCTGTACTGAACGGTGCAGTGTTGGTCTTGCTTCCCTCTGAAGTCACTAGCGCAGGGCAGCTGTTCACTGAGGGCAGGGCCTTTTCGCCACAGGAACGTCTCTGTTAGGGGGACCGCAGGGCCAGGCTAACCGACGGCTGTGTGTCCTTGAGAAGCAGGTGGCTTAGAAACGTGCAGTGACCTGACTGGCCCCGGAGTTCATCAGGGCCAAGCAGGGCTGTCACCGAGGGCCAGCTGGGTGCAGCCAGTTAGGCCACAGGCTGGGCCACGGAGCACACACAGAGAAAGTCGTTCAGTCTGTTGCGACATGAAGGAAAAACACCTCGTTTGGGACAAGCTGGGTACATGTGGGTGGTGTATCCACGGAGAGAGCTGCATGCGTGTGTGCACGTTCGTGTGCCGGTGTGGGTACATGTGGTTACGTGTTACTTACACGTGGGGGAAGTCTGTGAGAACATCTGGAAGATGATGCTCCAGGAAACTACCAGTGATGGCCTCTGGGTCATGGGTCATTTTAATCTGTATTGTCTTAATTTTTCCATAGTGAATCTTTGATAAATAATAGAAATGGCAGAGTGTTTGCACCACACTCTCCAGCCTTCTGCCCTGGCCTGTTGTGTAACAGGACAAGCAAGGCTTCGCCAGCCGCCCACACGGGCCTGGGCTGGCTTCTCACTCATGGACCCTGCCCAGCTTGGGTCAGCGAAGACCCTGCTCCATGGTCCCCCAAGAGTGTGGGCTGGCAGAGGCCCGCTCTGAGGGCATCATCCAGAACTAGAACAAGCAGCCTCCTCTGCTGCCCATTGTCCCTGCAGGAACAGGGAGAGGACTGAGGGAGGTTTGTCCGTGGGATCTCCACAGCCTTCGCCCTGAGGGTGCCTGGGCCAGCACTAGTTCTGTGGGCCACCGACTTGAAGAGAGCCGGGGGCAGGGGCTTCTGTCTGCTGCAGAGAGGAAGAAGGGGCCTGGTGCAGAGCAGGGCTGTGGGAAAGAGCTGACCACTGGCTGCTGCTCAGTGAAAGATGGCGCAGGATGTCACCAACAATAGACAGAGTTTACCGCAGAGTCGGTCTAAAGCTGCTCAGTGATATTCACATTAAGCCATATTGTCTTCAGATTTACATGATGAAGTGCGTGCACCTCTTGATGTATTTAAATAAGTGCAGTTTTGTTATGGGTTTTTTGTTTGTTTGTTTGTTTGTTTGTTTTTGAGATGGGGTCTCACTAAGTTGCTTAGGGCCTCACTAAACTGCCGAGGCTGGCCTCAAACTTGCAATCCTCTTGCCTCAGCCTCCTGAGTCCTGGGATTCAGCTGTGCACCACCATGCTCAGCATGTGATTAGCTTTTAATAATAAGAATGGTGCCTGGCCTGATTAGTAAAGTATTCTGGCACTTTAAGGGGCCTCTTCAGGCCTTTGAGGACCTCCAGGCAATGGTGAATAGTCAGTAGTGTGGGGAACCATGGTCCAATGAGGCAGTGAAAATTGAACACTCCAGAACCTTCTCACAGTGGCTTCATCTGTGATCACCTCTGCCGTGTGGGTCTGGTACCTGGTGATTGGCAGCCTCTCTGTCATAGAGACTCTCTTTCCTGGCACCCGTGTCCATGAGCACCCCAGAGTCTCCCTCCTGAGAATGGAGTGCGGCCTGCAGGTGTACCACAAACCAGGCCCCAGCAGGGGAAGCCTCCTGCACCCAGGGCGGGAGGCAGCCCTGAGGCTGGCCGTGCTCCATCCAGGCTCACCGGCTGCCAGGACCGGGGCTGGGAACTCCAGTCCATACCCCATGGGATCAGTTACCCCGGGGTTTCTTATTTCTCTGAAGGAGCTTTTGTGAAGCCTGTGGGCAGGCTGGGAATATTGCAGAACTGCTTCACTCTATCTCCCCCATCCATGGGCATCGCATGGCAGCAGGATTGTCGGGGACTGTGGCATCTGGCAGTGTTTTCTTTTTTTTTTTTTTTTTTAAATATTTATTCTTTAGTTTTGGGCAGACACAACATCTTTGTTTGTATGTGGTGCTGAGGATCGAACCCGGGCCGCACGCATGCCAGGCGAGCGCACTACCGCTTGAGCCGCATCCCCAGCCCCTGGCAGTGTTTTCTTGATGATGTCTTACCTTGGAAGCTCAATGCTAGCTCACAGCCCTAGCCTGTGGCAGTGCAGACCGCACGACTTGTGGCTGCTGCTGGTTCTCTTAAGTTGGTTCTGACTTATAAGAACTGAGCTCCTGGGGCACCTTGCACACCTCTGCCGTGTGGGTCTGGTACCTGGTGATTGGCAGCAGGTGTGTCATTTGGTCACTCTGTGCCATTCCCAATCCTGCCCACAGGTTCCCTCAGAGACAAGCTGCAGAAGTGCTGCAGGGACACGGGACTGACCTCTTTCTGTTTGCTTTTCTAGAGTTCGTGGGCTGAGAGAGAAAGCATGTTGAAAAGATCGGAGAAGGTAATGTGGTTTTCACACTGACTTCGTATTTGCAGCGCTGTTGTTTGCATTCAAGTAATGCCTCCTCTTTTTTTTCCTATATTTGGTTAGTTGTCAGTAGACTTCATTTATTTGTATGTGCTGCTGAGGATTGCCGCAGTCTGGCTGGGCACAAAATCACGAGCCACTCAAGCAGGAACAAACTTTATTTTTTGAAACTGCCGCCAATGTCCCGTACGGGCACCGCCAGAGAGAGTTCCTCCCCCGGAACTCCCTCCTACTGTACTTCCCCAACCAATGGGAACTCTCCAGGAGTCCCGTAGCAGGCCAAGGTGAACAGCAGGAGTCCAATATCCATATGAATGCAAATCTTAACATAATCATATCATCTCAATGGCTAGCTGGCGTCACCTTTCAACCAAAAATGCCATGCATCATATACTTGGCTCTTAGCAGAGGATGGGACCCAGTGCCTCACGAATGCCAGGCAAGCGCTCTGCCACTGAGCCCCGCCCAGCCCCATAATGGTTCTTCTCCAGCCAAGTGGCCACAGTGGTGCTTGCTGTCCGTCAGGGAAACTGTGTCACTGTGGTCACAGTGCACATTCCAAGAAGGGTGTGCATGATCGGGTCTGAATGTGCAAAGGCATCTCAGGTCACTGAGTCTCATTGAAATGAAGGAGTTTCTGAACCAGCCCTTCTGGCTGGCTCTCCAGTGTTCCTTACTTTTAAAAATTCCTGTAGCTCTCAATACCCATAGCAGAGAAAGAGAAGGAGAAACCAGCCTAAACTGTGTCACGTATCGGAAATAGTACTTGCTGTGCCTTCTGTTGAGTGGTAATCAGCACATGGAACTTGCAGTGGACAGTGGACCGTGGTGGGGTTTGACTTCTGTAATCCAGGATTTGGCAGCAGTTTTCTTTGGGGGATTGGATGGAACCCAGGGACTTATCCCCAGCCCTTTTTATTTTTATTTTATTTTTTTTTTTAAAGAGAGAGAGAGAGAGTTTTTTAATATTTATTTTTTAGTTTTCGGCAGACACATCATCTTTTGTTTGTATGTGGTGCTGAGGATTGAACCCGGGCCGCACGCATGCCAGACGAGCGCACTACCGCTTGAGCCACATCCCCAGCCCCAGCCCTTTTTATTTAGAGACAGGATTTCACTTAAGTCCTTAGGGCCTCACCAAGTTGCTGAGGCTGGCCTCAAACTCGTGATCCTCCTGCCTCAGCCTCCCAAGCCACTGAGGTTACAAGTGTGCACTGCTGCACCTGGCAACAAACTTTGTGTAAATGGCCAGATAGTAAATATTTCTGGCTTTGTAGGTGTCATAGCCTCTGTCAGGACTGCTCAACTCTGGGTGGGGGTGAAGCTCATTTGTGGAGCACTCACTTAGCATGTGTGAGGCCCTGGACTCAAAGCAGCTGCTCCGTTGTGCTGCAGAAGTGGCCGCAGACAGGGCACATGTGGCTGAGTTCCCTGTGTCCCTGTGAAGAGCGAGAAGGATGCTCAGAACTGCAGTCCGCGGCGGCCAGTTCCTGAATGGAGGCGGTGGTCACCTGCAAGGAACGAGGGATAAAGACACACTAGTGCCCCTAAACTCAGGGGTCGGGGTCGAGACACTGTCCTGAGTCCCACAGGACTACCCCAGTGCTCGCATGGGCACAGCTGGGGACACATTGTGGGCTCTGCTGCATGTGAAAGCTCTGCCCTGGGCCTGCTGGGCCCTCTGAGACCCACCCGCAGCCGGTGCTGGTTACGCATCACTCTTGTCATTGGGAGCTTTTGACACCCTCAGGACCGAGGACCCCCACCCCACCCAGGCGTGGCTGCAAATCTTGTCCTGGGGTCTCCTTTCTCTGGACCCCATGCAGGACACAGCCGTCCCCATGGCGTGACCATGGCTCTGATAGGCTGTGGCGGAGCCGAGTCGATAGCTGGCTTTGCTGTGTTTGGTTGTCTGGCCTGGACCATGCCCTGTCACCCATCCGACCGCAGCACCCTGGTCTCCGGAACGCTGGAGGCTCGGGCCGGCCGAGCTCCCCTTCTTGCCCACCCTGCTCCCGCCCCAGGCGGCTGTACCCCCTGCCTGGCCCCAGGGCACCCTCCACCCCGCCCCCAGGTGGCTGTCGTGCCTCAGGCGCAGCGAGTGGGCCGTCCTGGTCACTTGTGGTTTTGGCATTTTCCCAGAGAGACCCCGAGTGCCTGAAGGCCACCTTCCTCCTGGTCTACCACGACTGCGCATGGCCGCTCCTGTGCTCCACGCTGCTGCCCCCGCTGCACTGGGCAGAAGAGGAGAGCGAGGGGGCTCGCTGGAGGGCCATTGCTGACTTCCTCAAGCAGAACCAGGAGCACGGGGGCGCTCTGCGCGCTCTCCTGTCCCCAGATGGGGCCCACCAGCCCTTTGACCTCTCAGAGCAGGCCTATGACTTCCTGGGCGAGGTAAGGAAGCTGTCGGCCTGACCCAGCGGCCCGGCCCCTGCTCCAGAGCCAAAGGCAGCTGCCCATGGGATCGGGTCTCACCCCCTTTTTGGGTACAGATTGTGTTTTTTAAGAAATAGTTATATAATTTGAGTAGGTTTTAAAACAATAAATTTTATAAGAAATACTGTCGCATCTAAATTTGAAGACTTTAAAAAAAATAAGTTGGCAATGTCAGTTTCTATAAAAGCAAGATTTTATCAAAAACTAAATTAATGACCATTTAAAAAAGTGAAGGGACAGTGCACTGGATAGGAGAAGGTATTTCCAAGCCACATATCTGATAAGAGTTTAGGATCCAGAATACATAAAATGTATGATCGTTGCTACTAAAATTTTTGTTGTTTGAGAAATTAAGTGTATTTAAGCACTTAATTCTGTCTGATATTTGAATGTTATTTATTCCTAATTAGATACAAAAGCAGAATCGTTTTTTTCCGTTTCAAGTCAGCATAGTAAGTGCTCTGTCAAAAAACAAGAAAAAATCCTTCCAGCCTGGTCCCTTTAGAGAACAGAGAGGAGTTCATCCCATCTTGTTGCGTTTTGAGTAAAATTGTGACTTCTGGTGGAAGGTCCCTAGCCTTTGCTGTTAGAAGCAGGCAGTAGCAGCTGACATTAGCTGAGTACCTACTGTGTGCCTAGCGCTTGGGTTAACCTGCCAGTTCTCCCCACTGCTACTGAAGTAACAAGCCAGGCGGAATAAACAGTTTGCTCAGGTCAGAGCTGGCAAATGTCACAGCTGACACTCAAGGGAAGACACCATGGTAAGTTTCTTCTGCCTACCATGTTCTGCCTCATCCATGCAAACCTTTAAGAAACATGCGTACAAATAAAATTTGAGAGAGCTATTTGAAGAAAAGTGTGAATGAATTAGAAAAAAATTAACTTAAACTCTTAAAAGTACCTATGAGGTACTTGTGTTTTGGCAGCATGCCATCTTAAAAGAGGCTTTTTTAGAGGTTTATCATATTATGAAACTTCTGGATTACATCTTAGTTAACTTACTCAAAGCCCTTAACCTAGACTTGGTCCTTTTATGGGTTCATTTCTGTTACTATAACAGACTACCTGAGGCTAGAGACTTATGAAGAAAAGAGTTTTATTTAGCTCACAGCTCTGGAGGTTCAAGAGCACAGCACTAGTACCAGCTGGGCTCTGGTGAGGGCCTCACAGCAGATGGCATCACAACAGCAGGAGCTAATGCATGAGAGAGGGTGCCAGGTGAGAAGTGAGCCCCCGGGTGGGGAACCACGCACTCTCTCGAGAACTAACTCGGGCCCCACAAGAGCCACCTGCTGCCAGCAGGCCTCACCCGCTCTTCACATGGCCCCGGGGACCAGGCTTCCAACCCCTGAAATTTGGGGGACTCACATTCAAATCACAGCAGCCTTTAACTTCAGAAGTTAGCCTGGCATGAAGGGACCCCAGCGGCGGCTGCCAGGTGAGAACTTGGCCCGGAGAGCTTCCACTTATCCCCAGGAGCTGGGTTCCAGGGTGTGCCCCTCTGTGTCCCCTTCTGCCCTCGGTGACATGTGGATGACACGTAAGAGGCAGGAAGACCCTCTCCTTGCCCATCATGAAGCAGCCTCAGTGGACCCTTCCCAGTGGCACCTCTGCTGAGGTGGCGAGCCCCCAAGGGACTGGTTCCTGCCCTGTCACCCAGTCACCTTAGTCCCCGAAGGCCTGTTCTCGGAGGAACCCAAGACTTTCCCCTGCCCCACTGGGAACGTCGCTCACTGTGGGATCTACTTCCTAAGTCCCACCTTTTTATTTTTTAAGCATTGGCCTGTTCTTGGCCGGAAGCCAGGTAGGGCGTTGGGGTGGAGCGCTGGCAGGAGCAGGAGAAGAACTGGTCCAGGGTCCCCACTGCCTCCCTGCTCATCTGAGGAGGTGTCAGGAGTCAGCTTCGAGTTTCTGAATCACAGGGACAGGAGAGGGGCCAGAAAGTGAGGGGCACAGGAGTCAGCCTGGCTGGCGGGGACAGGCCCAGGGCTGGGTGGCTGCTGCTGAGGGCCGTTGCCTCTTCAGGCAGCACAATATTTTTTTTTTTTTTCCCAGCAAAACCTCTCTGAGTTTTTAAATGCCACTTTTGAGCTTTCACAACAGGAAGGGGTTGTCAGGGCGCCAGAGACATCCTGGCCAGGAGCCCGGGGTCCTGTGGGGAGCACTCCTTAGCAACACACTAGCCACAGTGGGCGACTGCACGTCCTGCCTGTCCTCCCAGTCCTCCAGGCCCTGAAGCCAGGGACCCCACACCAGAACAACATCCCTCTCCATCTCCTGACCTCCCAGCGTTGGTCGGGTCTGCTGGAGGTGAGAGTCACGGCTGTGCCCCTGTTTGGATGCCTGGGACAAATGCCAGGGCAGAGGTACATCCAAAACCATTTGATGGCACCCGCAGCTTGGCCTCACCATCCAGTGCAGTGAGAATCCCCCCTGCTCCCACAGGCTCCAGTAGTGTCACCTGTGCCGCTGGGAAGTCCCCCTGCTCCCACGGGCTCCTTCAGTGTCACCTGTGCTGCTGGGAAGCCCCCTGCTCC